AATGCAAATAATTTAATTTCCATTAATCTGAAAAATTAATTGAATTGTACATGAAAATGTACACATAAAGCAGGTTTTAAAAATAATGTCATAATTACATGAACATCTTATTTCGTAATTGAAAACGTATCTGATGCTCATGTCAATGCGATGAATAGTCTTTTAATTAGTCACTAGCGGAGCTCGTAACTTTGTACGCGTAGTATGCAGTTGTTTATAACTTTGTTTGTACACCGAGTATAATTGTATGTGTTTTAGAACTAAGTGTTATAATAGACAGTTTGCTGAAATACATCATTAGAGAATCTCATTAAAAGCAGTTAAGACACTTCTTCTGACACTAGCATGCACATACCCACAAACAAATAGACAAGAATTATAAATACAAATTTATTATTTGATAAAAGTATTTAATGTACAAAAACACGGCTTTTAAACGGAGTTTTTAATTATATAATGTTTTTACGGTTTAGTATTTTAAAAGTATAATATCTTGCGTACCATACGGGCTACGTCACGCGGAGGACTGGCATCTCCTTAATTGACTAATATGGATGAAAATTCTTCTTATAAAATATTCTAAAACTTGGTGCACTCAAGCACTGAGCGATTTATTCACGTTGCCTCTCTAATAATATAGGGATTCCGTAGTAGAGACGTTATATTACTTACTGAATCGTGAATATAATCTAAGATTAACGGAGCTCTCTCTGGGTAGGATCCGAGGCAATATTTGATACGAGATATTTTTAGAATACGTATTTCATTTTATAGTAGTTATTTTGGCTTCAAACCTTTAGGGACATGCTTTGAGTTAGCTGTAATATGTTTGGTAGATGTTTGGTAGAATAAAATTAGTTATGCCAAACATTATTATTTTAGAATAGAAAAGAAAATTGTTTATTTAAGATAGTCATTACTTAATTTTTTTTAACTAAATTTATATAGGTATAATGTATATTGACTGTTCGTTTCAATTTGCATTATTAATTTTGATTACAATATAGTTACTTGCAGAGTTGTAGTGAGTATATAAAAATATAATAATATATTATGAATAGATCAAGGAAAATAATATGAAGCCTTCAATATGGAGAGTGCATTAGGTTTTAAAATTAGGTACTATTTTCGTTTTACGAAGATATATAATTATATAACACTCTGTCCATAACTATGTAATTACTCAGTGAAATAAATATCAGGTACAATGTAAGTGATTTATCTGAAGCAATATTACTCTTTAGAATATTATGATCTACTTTTGCTTTGTGCTAACTTTCATCGAAAATTTAGCCGAACTTTATTATCAAGTATACTTTAAAATGTTACACATAATTACGAATTTTTAATTTCTTAATTAAACCATAAGTCGCCATATAATATATTACTGTCTTATTAGAATTTGCATTATTAATTATGATTCCTTTGTAATCTGCATTGTTGGAGTTATTGAATATAAAATGTAATGACATATTCTCTATGGATATTTTAGTGTAGTATAATTATAACCCACTGTATATACCTAACTGTATGTAATTACATACTGAAATAATTGTGGGACATTATATCACTGATGTAACACAAATTTACACTTTAGAATATTTTGCGCTATGAATTTAGCACAAAGTCAAACTTTGTGCTAAATTCATCGAATATTTTCAGGGACTATAAACTCAGCTATAAATAAAAGTAGTGTCTTTCCTATACTCGTAATTTCGATAAAAAAATTTGTTTCGTTATAAATAAATCTTGTCTTATTTGACCATTCGTTTGAGTTTGCATTATTAATTATGATTACATTACAACTATCTGCAGTATTGGAATTAGTGAATAAAAATACAATGATATGTTATGTATAGGTAACGGGTCAAAGAACATAATAATCGGCCTTCAATATGGAGAGTGCATTCGGTCATAAAATTTATATTTCAGTTGAATGATTGAATATAATTTACCCACACTGTACGTAATTGTAACCGTATGTAATTACATAATCACATAAATATTAGATACAATGTAACTAATATAACATTCGGAAGAACATTGAGAATATATATAGGTATTCATCTATTTTACTAAAATAAAATTTTATGGAGTTTTACTGTTACATATTATAAATATTATATAATGAATTGTCGTAGGTACGTTAATCATCTAATTTTCAATCAAATTACATACCTAACGGACTTGGCGAAAAGCAATTATTATAAACGATAGGTAAAAGCATGCCACTTACGATTCAAAGTGCGAATTACACCTAGAATCTAATTGGCATTAATACTGGGAAACAGAACATCTTGAGGTCTTTTATTATGTTATTTTTTAATGTCCTCATTTATATTTATTTATTCGTTCTAGTTATGAGACCCAATCTCGCTGTCTCTAACAACTTAATGACACAAAAATTTAGGTTATAATTATAATAAAATCTACTAAAGTTCTATTTAGTAATATAATAGCTGTAGAAATATTATACATCGGAATATATGGGTACATTTCCGCAATGTAACATGTGTGAATTCTTTTGTTTAAAGCTGGTGATAACGGAATAAAGAATCAAAGGCTCTGCAAGTACTCTGATAGAGTACCTATAAAAAGAAGGACTGTAGAAGTTAGCCTATAAAAGGGCATTAGGGTTGCAAGATTCCAAAATGCAGGAATATTCCAAATTAGCTTAGAAAATTGGAACGTCCCGTTAAAATGAGGATGTCTGACAACGCCGCTTTGTAATAACTTTCATCGAAACTAACTACGGAACTATAAAGTTAATTATGTATGAAGGTGTTGCATATTTTAAAGTTTTATATACTCTATGAATAGAAATTGGAAATTAACTAAAAAGATTGTAATAAAGTACGTACAGGTACTCTAAAACTAAGTAATCCTTTAACTAATTATATAGCTAACAAATGTTGCTGTTCGCAACTATTTATGGATCGATAAGTGCATACCAATTACGATTTAAAGTGAGAATTACGCTTAAGAGTTGTCATTAGAATTAATAATTGAGTTGTGAAATGGAACTTCTTGAAATAATTTATCGTGTTATTCATTTAAAATTAAATTTGCGTCTAAGATCGTAGAGAGATGAAATTTTCGGTCGCAAAATCCATTCGAGCCGACACCAAAAACTTTGTGTATCAATTTAAATTACTGACTAATAGAAAACTCAGATGCAAACTAAATAAACCCGAGGATAGCGGTAGATTCGCGCCCAGTCGCGTTGAATTCAAATATTTGCAGTGTCAAGTGCTCCGTTCACCACAACGTCGAGTTGACAATGCCATTGACTACCTAGTCCCGGATTACAGTCTTCAAAACTGTAATGTTCAACTTGTCACAATTGCACACAAATTTATGTCGTTTTTTAAATGTTTCTAATTGTTAACAAGTGAAGCAGAGAAGTACTGAAGTAATTCAATACTGGGCATTATAATTTTATACAATGGAAATATATAAAACAGTGTAAATAAATATGACATGTAGATCTTTTATTGTCTTATATAATATGTTTCTTTTAAATATTAATACTATTTTTGACTTGCTTTATTGCAATATGAAAATGTGTAACTATTTATAGTATTTCAATACATATATTAACATAGGTATATCATCTTCGTAAATGTTATGTTGTACCGTGTATCAACATATAAACATATTTGTTTGAGTTTCATTATTTGATTAGCTCAGATATTTACATGGAATTATCAATCATGTCGTTGCTAGAAGCCTGATAGTCATTAATCCATTCGACTACATAATAATACCATTCCTATATTGTCTAAACAAGATACACAAGAGCTGCTCTCATGCTCATATACTCCATACCGTACGTATGCCCTATATGGCCCTTAATCTTATCGAATTGTAACTTCGCTAAAGTGTACTAGACATCACAAGAGCCAATATACCTAAATACATTAATCCCTATCGCCAGAGAGTCTTAGTACAATCGTCTGCCATTCGACTGCATGAAAATCTATGTCTTATTGATCAAGAAATGTTGGTAGATCCTAGTGAAACAGGATTTGGATACTTTGAACTCGCTACTTCAATCTTAAGACTATCATCTTCCTTGATTGTTTATTTCTGTATTTCTATCTTTATTTCTTTTACTGCTTTGCTGCTGCTTTGTTACGAATATCTAATGTAACTAAAGGATAAACGGCAATGAATTTAATATTAGTATATATTTAAGTCATATCTACAAATCTCACAAAGAAATAGTTATATTCATTTATTTCTATTTCAAGAAATTTATTTTTACTGCTACAACGCGCCCACTCACAAGGCTGGAGCGGAGGCTAGGCTGCTAGAGCGGGCGGAAAGGTGTTAGGCATTAACGCGGCAAATTTTTACATGGAAATTATATCTTTTTCTTTATTTATGTCTTATTTTCCAGTATTGCGAAGTCATTTTTATATTAAGTTTATTTTTGTACATAAACAATTTTTAAATCCATACGTCTGCACCTAATATTGTAAAGTAAAATAATATTAGTCTGATTGTTACCTGTCCATGGATCTTCATGAAATTTCTACTTAAGGATAGATTGTATCACTGGGCCGGTAATTGATTATCTTTATCCTATAAAAAGGAAAGAAAACCTACAAAAGTTACATTTTTGTTCGAAGAGACGTTACAGGGAATTACTAGAATCTTTTAAATAACTAACATGGTTTTTTGAACACTATTACGACTTTAGCCTTAGCCTCTTGCACGGTTCCGCCTTAAAAGTTTAGTTACAACAAACAAATAATGGTATTCTATCTTACCGAAAGTCTTAGTGATTAAGAATAAAGATAAAAATAGTGGTTTTATTTTTTCTGCTTCTCTATTCTATTATATTTTCTTTATTACTTGCCATTTCTTCACAATTGGATCTATATACTGAACTGGACGGTAAAAAATTATAATATTAAAAATTTTACGTTCATTAGCTAAAATGTCCTACATGAATAAATATTTTTTTAATTATAATTTACTATTGTATTGTTTAGGAACATGTGGAATGTATGGCGCACCGTCCTTGAGGAGAATGAGAAGTTGGCGCGTGCCCGATTGGCTGCCGTCGAAGTGTTTCAGCAACAGATTGCGGATGAAGCCAAGTTCCTAAGACAGCACAAACTTAATGTCGCCAAAAAGGTGAGCAAATTTTATTTTAGTCTACCTAAATACGGAAGAAGTCCTTTTTTTAGTAACATACGTAAATTCGTAATGAATGCTGAAACGCTAACGATATAAATCACCAATGGTAATATGTTTATTTCTATTTGAGAATTGTCATCGAATTTTTAATTACAAGAATTATTTCTGTATTGTGAATGTTTAACAAGAAAATAGATGTGTTAATTAGCGTTAAATTATATTATTGAATAATTATCTGAGAAACATCTTAGATTAGGTACATTACAATTTACATACATATTCAAAATTTTAACGTAGTGTTGGACGAAAGTAGTTTCAAATCGAGTTACAGGTTTTGACACCTGTTAGTAAACAGTGGCATCTAACAGGTGGTAGGAGAAGGAGATAATTTCAAACGATGGACTCAGCTTGTGGCCTCACAACTACAGTATCGTACTAACACTATAAACTCGGAAGTGTGCATATATTGATGAATGTATCTTGGTACTCTTTTTCCCGGAAATAATACTGAACAGATTTTAAAAAAACTTTAATAAAACTGGTATTGAAGCTATAGTAGTGTATGATATAGCTTGTATGTATATCAGAATAACACATAGCTAGTGATTTATAAATCTACGTATTGTCTAACCTATAAATTTGTTATTGCCGAATAACAGATGTAGGTATATATTCCTAATAGGGTTTCTTAAACCAGGGGCAATAAATAAATAACAACATAGTGTTATCTAGTGCCAGCTCCATGAACTAGTAGTTTAGCACAGCCTTACGTCCAATTTTCGTGGGTACGATTTGTCGGATGCTACAAACATTTATATTGCACTCTTAATTGATTATAGTATTAGGCTGGGTGTTTCCGATAGATATATAATTTGTATTGTATTTGCAAAAAAAAAGTAATACAATTATTATTACTAACAGTCTCTTAGTACCCATAACACAAGCTCTGCTTAGCTTAAGGACTAGACGGCGCTATGGTAATTCTCCAATGTTATTATTTATTACGGTCATTTACATGACCAATTTAATTCATTAATGTACTCGTATTTTTTATATTGAACGGGAACCAACCCGCGGCCTTAAGAAAGTGATTTAAGAAGAAAAGTAGAATGACTACGTGCGTCAGAACTAGTTCACCAATCACGTCATGCTTATTAAACTAGAACCATTTCTTTTTATTTTATTATGAGAATGCATCTGAATACAGTAATCTGTATTGTGTTATTATTGACGTATGAATTTGTAATCAGATTGAACAATATCAGCTTTAATAAAGGATAATACCATATCACACGCAGCGTAGTAGAGTTATATGTAACAATTTTGGTCATTATAAAATGTAGTGTAATTATTGTAACTATGTAACTAACTAACTCTAAATAAGCTGATGCAATTATATTAATTCAAAATTAATTACTTTATAGAAGGACCTAAAATGGTATAGGTATACATATAATTCAAAAGAAACTGATTGTTCATTACACGGCACTCTGATTAACCAGCGGCGCGACCAGCGGGGTCCGTCCGGAGGACACCGACAATACCCGAACGGAGCCGACCGCCACTTGTGCATAGTACGGCGGCAAAGTTACACCTTATTTTATAATCTTGTAAAGAATCAGAAATTAAACTATTTATCACATCAACATTTGTATTATTGGAGCTGCTGAAGCTCCAACACTGATCGTTGTCTATACATGGAAGATATATGATTAAAAAACTATTATTAAGATACTTAACATGCAAGTTTCTTGCTCATTCCTCTTGTGATGCTTTCCGAATGAGCGTTAGACTAAAAATAAAGTGATGACTGTTAAAAAGTGCTCCAATGTAATTTTATTATCAAAATATATAATAATAATAAATTATTATCTATTTTATTCTTTATTAATGTCTTAAAAATAACCAGAAATAGCGATTGTTAGAATGTTTCTATGATTTTCTGTGCGTTTTTAAGCGTGGTTTAGAATAAAGATGTTGTAAACTTCATTTAAAATATACTCTTTATTTTGTCCAATCGGTTAACTAACAAAAAGTCGAAATAACGAAGTCGCGGCCTTAGCTAGCATGAAATAAATGAATTAATATTGGAATAAGCACGTCTAAGTAAATTAAGTAAGCAAATATATCACTCTATGAAATTAATAATCATTGAAAACGTACGATGCAATTTTCATGGAATATGATAGTATTTGAATTGAATAATATCATTCATATTCTACGGAATTATATCGTATATTTTCAATTAATTTCGGTTTAATGAAAATTAATTACATGCTGGTATGGACCTACTACATGGAATTCGATATCAATTTGAGTACATTAAATTATAAAAGGATTAATTATCTGTAACGATTTCAGAGAAATATGCATTCACGGTGTTGATGTAAACAATTTTGTCCAATTACTGATGACGGCAATATTATGAAATGCACGGTATTAATATGAGAGCAGTTCGATTAAATTAACTTACAATAATTATTATTTAATAGTGTGAGATGCATACAAAAAATATAGTCTATTAAAATACTAATTTTAGAGATGGTTTGATGGGTTGAGATGCGCGAATTACGAGATTCAAACTTGTAATTTTTTTTACAATAACGGTATAATTACAGTGGACGTATGAGTTCAAGATAATTTTGCCGTGACGAGCCGAACTCATCACTTACTGAATGTTATTCAATATTGTTAACATTACATAAAATGTTAAATAGTCTTAATTTTAAAAATATGTCAGGCGTAGTGCCCCTTTTACATATACAATAATTACAAAGTGATTACAAAGAGAAAAATAGTCTTAATTACGAAAATGAATTACACAGTGGTCTATAACTTCAGTCCATTGCATAGACAATCGAAGCGACCAAAGTGTACTCGTATGTCATCCTCTACGAGTAAACATAAACTATACCAAATTTTCACGAAGATCACTTTGTAGAAAAGCTATGGAGATTAAAAAATATATCTATGTATACTCTATGTTCGGCAGTACAATAACTTTGAAATATTGTTGATATCTATAAAATCTTACATTAATTTTTTGCAAGTTAGACATTAACGTTAAAAGTTTAAGTGTAATCCTAATTTGTTTTCAAGTTTACGTAGTTTGTAAGCGAACAAGTTATAAATAATACATTGGTTTTCCCATTGTTGCAGTGCACAGATTCACTCGCGCAGGCTCATAAAGAACTACAATTAAGTGTGGTCGACATAGACAAGACCAAGAAGTTGTACTTTGATGAAGAACACACTGCCCACGATGTCAGGGATAAAGCTAAGGATATCGAGGAAAAGTAAGTAAATATATGTTTAAGGCTGTTATAACGAATGGGATAGTCAGTATACTATAACTGGTGATGTGACATGCCCACATTTCCACAGCAATTTTTGGATACATTATGTCAGAAAGATTACGTTTCTTGGTAGTACATAATTTCTATTAGAGAAAAGGACATGAATTTATATTAAAACTCTTTAGTTTTTAATATCTATTAGATTCAAACCCACGATCTTCAATTTATGTCCATTGTGAAATAGTAAATATATTTCGCTACGACTGCTACTTGTCTTGACAATGTTTTTTGTAACTGTGAGTATATTGAAAAATTAATAATAAATAAACTTCCTTCGGATCACTGTGGTCAAGTTGTTAAGTTTAGTAATCAGACTAAAAAAAATACCAATAATAAAAGATCAAAAAGACAAATAAATGCTTACAATATTAATAAATACAAAAGCACGGTTAAATATAAATTAGACTTAGAGTTACAATCTGTCAGTCTTAATAATCCTGATATTCTTTACACCAAGTTAATTAGTCTTTTGTCAAAAGAATACCAGAATATTTTCAAGAAAAGAGAATATTGTGTTAAATCTAAATTTACAGAATGGGCAACAGTAGGAATACTTAAAAGTAGAAACATTTTATTTGATTTATATGATCAAAAAAAAATATAGATTTGATGACAAATTTACAACTTATGTGAGAAATTACTCTAAAATTTTCAAACAAGTTTGTATTGCAGCTAAATCTAATTTTATAAATAAACAAATTAATCAGTCCTCTGACAAAATTAAGACCATCTGGGGAATTATAAACAAAGAAACTGGACGGTCTGAAAAAGCCTGCAATCAATTCTCATTAAATTATGACAATAAGTTAATAACAGCAACAAAAGATATAGTTCATATTTTTCAAGATTTTTTTGCTAATATTCCGATTGATATTACATCTTCTCTAGACTCATCTCCAATTCGAGCAAAAACATTACTGGAGGCTAATGTCAGCCCTTGCTCTTTAACATTTAAATTTTCACATGTCAGCCCTTTTCATGTCATAAAAATATTCAAACAGTTAAATTTAAAAAATACGGAAGATCTCTGGGACATGTCAGTTAAAGTAGTTAGTACATTCATAGATATTGTTGCTCCTTATCTAGCTACTATTTTCAATAAATGTGTTGATAATGGCGTGTTTCCTCAATTAATGAAATTTAGCAAATTAATTCCACTCTTTAAATCTGGAGATAGATTTGAGCTAGGCAACTATAGACCAATTTCTATTTTGCCAGTTCTAAGTAAAGTATTTGAAAAGATTATGTTTAACCAAATGTTAAAATACTTCAGGGATAACGGACTGCTTCACAGTCAGCAATATGGTTTCACTGCCGGCAAGTCTACTACTGATGCAGGCGTAGCGCTTATTACACATATATTCGAATCATGGGAAAACTCACAGGATGCTCTCGGCGTTTTTTGTGACTTGTCGAAGGCGTTTGATTGCGTAGATCATGAAACACTTTTGTACAAGCTCAAACATTATGGTATTAGAGATAATGACCTAAGTCTAATGAAAACTTATCTAGAGGATAGGGTGCAAACTGTAGATATTGATGGTGTAAAGTCTAAGGGAACTAATATAAAAATGGGCGTTCCTCAAGGTTCAATATTAGGCCCGTTTCTCTTTTTAATTTATATAAATGACCTTCCCTACATGGTAGAGAAAGTTGCAGATATAGTGTTATTTGCGGATGATACTTCGTTAGTGTTTAAAATTGGTCGCCAATGTAATCAATTAGACGATGTAAATTATGCTATCTCTGCTATACTAAATTGGTTCACATGTAATAATCTATTATTGAACTCCAACAAAACTAAGTGCATTAAATTCACGCTGCCTAATGTAAAACAAGTAAATACGCAGCTATTGCTTAATGATGAAATAGTAAATTTTGTTAATGATACAGTTTTTTTAGGAATAACAGTGGACTCGAAGTTACAATGGGGGCCCCATATTTCAAAATTAGCCAGTAGACTTAGTTCTGCTGCTTATGCAATTAGAAGGATAAGGCAATTAACAGACGTGGCGACGGCAAAACTTGTATATTTTAGTTATTTCCATAGCATTATGTCATATGGCATACTGCTATGGGGTAAAGCTGCCGATATAAATACTATATTTATTTTACAAAAGAGAGCCATACGTTCTATTTATGGTATGGGTTCTAGAGAGTCATTACGTCAATGCTTTAAACAATCAAATATCCTCACCGTTGCCTCACAGTACATTTATGAAAATATTATGTATACAAGGAAAAACTTAGATAGTTTCAAGAAACTTAAAGACTGTACAAGTAGAAACTTACGCAATAAAAATAAGCTAATTTTACCTAAATGCCGTCTACACAAAGTTAGTAATTCATTTTATGGTAATTGCGTAAGATTCTATAATAAACTGCCAGAGTCTACGCTAAATCTTACAGAGAGGCAATTCAAATCTTATATTAAACAAATGTTATGTAAAAAAGCCTATTATAAGATAGATGAATTTATAGATGATAGCAATATATAGCAAGAATAAGTTTATTTGCGGACAACGTTATAATTTTAATTTTCATACTGCTTTCTTGATATATGATAGCGTAGCGGCTTTTGTATTGATTGCCGCATGCATCCTTATGTAAAGTGCGAATACTGTAACTACCATATAGTAATTTTTATAGCTGTGACGTGGTCGTGTGGAATGAGTAGTCATGCTCACTAAAATGTCCAGACATGTGGCGGCGTGGTGGGCCGGGTCAATGGGCTCCCTAAAATATGGTCGAGCGCAGTGATGGCTGGCTCATCCGTCATACTCGTGAACGAGTGCTGCTTGTAGGGACTGGTCTGCTCTTATCACTACGACTGATTTAATCTTATTGCATATTTATATTTGACCCAAAAATTAGTGCTTGTTGGTAGTTTGTATTCACACGTTTCGACTTGTAAATGTAAACTTACAAGGATTATTTAAAAGAGCAACACACAAGTTTCTTGCTCGTTCTTCTTGTGATGAGACAGCTTTCCGAACGAGTGGTAGATAAAAAACAAATTGTTATGACTATTCAAAAGTGCTTAAATTAAGTTTATTTGAATAAATGATTTTCTATTCTATTCTATTCTATTCTATTTTTAAACCGTAATATACGTACACTTTATTGTTAATTGGCAATAGCACTAGCTGCGAAGAATGGCAGTAAAAGTATTAGTGACCAGGTTGTCTGTAAGAAATTGCTTCTAGCAATAAAGTAGTGTTATTTTGTGTACATTGTTACAAAGCTTTCTGTTCGTTGTACTTTTTTAGCGCGCAATAAAGTGTTAAATTATTGTTACTACTATAAAGTAGGTGTCAATAAAAGAAGGGTATCTAAAGTTAATGAATTTAATGTAAGAATGTTTGTGGCTTGATGAATGAGAGTATTTCAACAAAATCAGAGAGATAGGAATAAAAATGAAATACATAAATATTACGGATCAGTATTATTAAGTAATATCAATTATAATTTATGATACATAAGAATACACAGAACTATAGAAGAAACTTACAGGATGTAAGAATAAGTACATTAACTATTCATAACAAATTTTACATAAGGAAAATGTTCATTCGTTTTTAAGATTAAGAATTAGTTTTTTAAGATTAAGTATAAATAAGTTAGTTAATACGATGGCGACAGATATCAAAATAAAATAACGATCAATTATAATCGTAAATGAACCGCGTGTGTAAGTAAAATATTAGGGTATAAACGATTAGTATGTCTAGTACATACACATTATTTTAGACACTTGTGTTACAAAGAATACAAAACATATTTTAGAACTTTTGTTTCTTTGTCTATGCATTTATTTATAAATAGTAGTTCAACGAATTGTATGAAGTTTGTTATTACGTTATATTTGATTGATTCCAATCTGTTCACAAAATCAAAATACCACGTATACGAAATGGAGGCCAGCTTTAAAAAAAACACGATTACACTGCCGACTAGTACAAATAGTCTTTTATCTTTAAATGTTTAAATAAGTAAATCGAGAAAGAATATATGCAGCAAGCAAAATATAGGAATTTATTTCTTGTCACATGTTATTCCTTGAGTAGTTGAGAAATGCTTAGGTGATAAAATATTCTACTAGATCAACTTACCTACGTAACGTGAAATTATGCGGCGCCCTAGGGCATCCCGAGCAATAACTTTCACTTTAGCAACTTGTTGTGCACATGCCTGCACACGTGTATATGGATATATATAGAACTAGGTTGCAGCTGAAAATCGGTCTTTTATTTGAACAATGTCCAGAACTTCGAAGTATTTAATATTGTTGCAATTCGTACTTAATGAATCAAATTTGTCTCATGTTATAATTATGTCGAATTATGTAAAGCTGTTTTTATTTATAAAAGATTTATATAGTCATTAACAATGTTATAAACGTTTAATCTACCTATATATACACTTTAATCCCTTATTTCATCTGCTTCTAAATTTTGTTTAAGATTAGCTATTTTATAATATCAATTTTCTTAATATTAAATTTCATTAATGTTCATTTTTTATATAAGTTATTGAAGTTATTACTTATAATAATTGATTAAACGATTAAGAACTACCTAAAGATTTTTAAAGTAAAAGATGAATAGAATAATCAATACACCGATTATAAGCCTATTTCCATAACTACAATTGGATATTAATAATGTAAAATGGCCATTGTTCAAAGTTATAATCAGTTAAAAACTACTTGCTCTACTTGAAGCTTATATCTATTAAAAATGCATCATTCCGGCGCATATTAGCATCCTTTATTAAGTACAGCACTTAATAATAATCACGTTCCTACATACACCATACAGCAATCCAATAATTGCATGACGTTGCTTTGTAAAGTTACAGTTAGTTGAAACCTACTTTACATTATCATCTATTCCTTACTAGGAAGAAGGAAATATCTAAGTACATGGTTATTATTATTTCCATGAGAATAGTAACTGCTGCTTTACTAGCTGACCTACTCTATAATATCGCCTATTAATTTATCTGATATCAAAGCAATATTATAAAATTATACTTACTTACAAATTACGTTACATGAACCACTTGATTAACTTAAGATGGTCGGAATTTCTATACTACATGCTATTAATTACAATGAATAGAATATCATAGTCAACAATTACATGAAACATATTACAGTCTTCCATGTGGACTATTTATATTCGCCTCAGATCAAACAGCAATCAACGAAGTTGGAAACTTTATATAGATCTTCTATAAAGTTATAATTACTTAGCTCAAGCTTGAAACCTAATCTACATATCGCTTATTAAATGAAATGAGGAATAGCAGGTCTAAAATGTATAAAATAAGACAAAAAGTATGAAGTAGAATTTAAAAACTACTAATTACTCTGGTTACCTCTATTGAAGTTGGGAGATACTCGTATATTTAGCAAACCGACTCCTAATATCGATGAAGTAATCTTAAGCGTATTAAAGTACGCTGATTTATATACTATATAGTACCTACTTAAATAATTTATCACTATTTTGGGGAGACACAATTTGGTCAGAATTTTGCGTGGATTTCACCTAATTAAAAATTGTATGGAAGTGAATTTAACATACTGAAGATAACAACATATACTTCAGAAATAGCAATATATCAGAATTCCCAACCACATCTAATGATTTTTGGAAAATCATGGAACTGTTCTGTATACATATACATAAAGACATGGGTTACCCCTTTCTAAAAGAAATCCGACAGCTTGTTTGTCATTGTAATTACATAAAATTGTGCAGGAAGAAATATGGCATAAGTACATGACTGTATTAGCAAAGCCTGTCAATATTCCCCTACGAACTCAATTACCTATTCCAATAATTATACCTCGCTTTGTGCATCAAAGGAAATCAAAGCAAATAAAATCGTTGTAACTATGCAGAATTTACAGAATGTCTTTTGTTGATAGGTTGTATTAATTCAGTCTGTCATTACTTAACTCATGATAACAGGCTTACAAAAGTTTTCAAGAGAGAAATTTAAATAACTGTGGCAATTTTCAATGTGAACTTTATACGATAACCCACTTATTGTAATAATGGACAAAGAGGGCACTTTGTTCGATTATTCAATATAAATTGTAGGATAATATGTTTGCACTTTCAAAGTTTTTCAAGACAGTTACTTTGTAGTAAAAATGACTGTCGGCGTTTAATGAAAATACGTATGGGTGTTTCCTAACCTGCCACTTTTTATGCTTTTCTATAATAGAATTTCCACTATTTGTATAATGGGAGGACTCTCAAATAAATGTGTTACAGTAGTAGCTCATCCTAAACTGTTTAATATTTATATACCTACTATCATGTTGCACTTAGTTATTCGATACTGCTTCGGTTGAGATTCTACGTTGAAGTTCCGCGGCGAACTATAATGGGTGTATTATTCATCTCGAAAGATGAAACAGTTTCTTAGCAAACTGCAAAGTCCAAGCGAAGGGTGACACTACTTTATACAAACTTAATCCAAAGTTTCTTCTTCTTAATCAGTTTCATGTTTGAATTAAAGTATCCGGCAATAAATGCTATATATAGTTTTAACTGAGAATTGACGTCACTTCTAAGTAGTTTTGACCAAGAAATAACTTTGTAACATATAAACGAGTCAGACCCTCAGCGATACGCTCTCTCGCAGTCGACCCCATTGGGATTAAGTCGTGCGAATATTTAGATACGTCGTCTCTGGAAAACTTTTATTTACGCCACCGTACTCCATCTTTATTTTAAACTACATTTATTTGTAGGTCATACCTATTCATATGTATTTAAATATCGGCTACATTGTAAATATGTAGTTTCAATGCGTTCGATATGTAAACAAGCTTTTAACAAACCTGAGACTTCCGCAAATGTGGATTGATGTATGAATTTGTTTGCCCAACTGCGGAACAATATGCGCTAGCGAGGCAAAGAGGGAAGGTTATTACTTGAAAATTTTGTAAAATAATAATCTTCCATCAGTGATCAGCTAGCGTGTTTGTAATTTTAATGACAAATAAGCTAACGTCTCGCCTGATGGTAAGTGCATCATGATATAATGTAAAAAACCGTAATACAACTTATTATTTGTCATTCTAGACTAGAAATTTCATCTATGGCCTTTAATGAAACATTATCTATCTCAATTAGAACAATTGAGAAAGAATCTATGTAGTCGCGTTAGTTTCAAGGTAGGAACAGTATGGATCTCGACTTGGAGTTTCCTGTTCTGTACGTTAGTAACAAACGCCTTACCCGTATGTGTCCGTAGTATTGAAACCTATTACTTTTAGTATATATAACTTTTCTAACTAATATCATAACAGTAATAGTTTGAAGAGTGATTGTAAAATTAATTATGATAAAAAATAAATAAATAATTATTCCTGCAGGAAATTACTTTGTAATGGTTTCTTTCAAAGTATCTTAAAATTGTTCAATGGATTAACCATACCATTTAATTACCGTAATAAGAAATACAATGTTTGAAAATATAACAACAAAATTGTTTGCCCTATTTTTCCGGTTGAATGTATTTTCGCAATACGGCTATAGAATCATAAATAAATTAAAGTACACGTCGTGTAGTAATCCTTTCAATATATTTTCTAAAGCATTTTAGACTTAGTATATTTGAATATTATTCTGGGCAAATAATGTTAAAAGTACTTGACTAAGATAAAATACCCTTAAAGTATAAGTTTAACAGATGCGTATTTGTTTCTATTTTATTCCTCTTATGATTCTTCATATATAACTTCTTAAAACAAATTCGCAGGTTAAAGAAGAAGAAGGGTTCCTTCTTCCAATCGATCACTTCACTGCAGAAGAACAGTGCTAAGGTCTCGTCCCGCAGAGACCAATTAGAGGAAAAGTCCACAGGAGCCAGAAATGACTACTTACTCAGCATCTCTGCTGCAAATGCCCATCAGGTGAATCATCCGTAATGTGTTGTTTTTTTTACATAGAGCCTTATTAACATGAATTTTTACATAATGAACATTTTCATATGCTTTCGGCTTTAAGCCCGTACCTCTTTTTGTTGATAATGGATGCCTTGACGTCGGAGATACAAGAAGAGGCACCCTGGTGCATGCTATTTGCAGATGACATTGTGCTCGTTGGTGAGGAGGGAGCTGAGATACAGAGTAGATTGGCGATATGGCAGCAAAAGCTGGAAAGTGGTGGCTTAAAGATAAGTAATTCCAAAACGGAATACATGTTTTGCGACTTTGGCGGTCTTTCTGGCTCTGCAGCCATATCACTAAATGGAGTTCCATTACCGATCTGCTCCGATTTCCGGTATTTAGGTTCACTCCTCCAAAGCAATGGCGAATTAGACCGAACCATAAAGCACAGGATTAACTCAGGTTGGATGAAGTGGCGGCAGGTTACGGCGACGACGTGCGTTTACAAGACCATGATCCGGCCTGCCATTTTGTATGGATCAGAGTGCTGGCCCATAAAGGCGACGGATGAGAGACGACTGCATGCAACTGAAATGCGAATGTTGAGATGGATGTGTGGTGTGACGAGGATAGACAAGATAAAGAATGAATACATCAGAGGAAGTATGAAAGTGGCACCGATGTCAGAGAAGTTAAAGAGTAATCGTCTATCGTGGTATGGGCATGTAATGCGTAGGAATGAAGATCATATCCTAAGGACGGTGTTACATATGAATGTGGATGGTTATAAGGGTAGAGGAAGACCGAAAAAGAGATGGATGGACTGTGTGAAAGATGATATGGTGAGAAAGGGAGTAAATAACGGAATCACTGCGAACAGAGATGAATGGAAGAGAAAAACATATTACGCCGACCCCAAATAAATGGGATAAGGAAGAAGCAGATGATGATGAACATTTTCATATGTTACATATACACAATACCTATATAATGAAAATTATTGCAATATAACGAAATAAAAATGAAGTTACTACGTTATAATAATAGATGTATAGATCTTCTTTAAAGGTATATTTAATTTATAGTGATCCTCGAGTATTGAATATTAGTTGTTCCTACTAACAAATTAGTTTGTTACTTAAATAAAACTTACTACATTTTGCCAATTTGTGACGTACCTAAATACAAATAAAATAAAACATTTTTAGTAATTTGACTTAGACAATTGCTTATTAGCGTTTGTTTTAGGTAAACATTAAGAATACTGTTTTTTTAAATAAATTTTTTGCTGCAATAAATTTTATAGTACTACTAATATCATTATTAGTAGTATTCATATTTTAATTGGATTTATTAACAATATCCAATTATGAAAAAGATACATTTATTGAAATGCATTCATCACATTTTATGCTCATTTATCATGCTGCATGTAGGATTATCCCTTTCAATTGTTATTAAAATGAATAGTAACGAGATGATTTTCACAAATCGTTATAATTTTAATCCCCCAATCCGTTAGTCGATCTGTTGATTGATTTGTTGTGAGGATATCAGTGGCAGTGACAGTGTAATCTATTTTACCGGTCAAAATAAGTTTCCAAGATTCAAATGAAAACTTTTCACAGAACCGTTATTTTTTGGTGGAACTGCAATCCTGCATGCAAAACATGGAATCGGCCGTGTATGAGAAAGTATCAGAGTTCCTAACTCTGATGGGCCGCACTGAACTCCTCACCTGCTCAGCCACTCAGCACTCGTTTGGAAAAATCAGGGACCAAGCTCAGCAGCTCACCAGAGAATACAATTTACAATGCGTGTACTTATACTATCCCGTGTTGAAACAACACATTCAGGTCAGTAATAGTACATTGATAACTTTATGGTTTAAAAAAGAGGTCTTATTTGTATCAATGTATTTGAATTTCGAATTTTCAAAGGTGATTTATGTAATAAAAAAAAAAATAAGTAAGTTAGATTGGTTTGTTCTTAGCATACTGGGAAGAATAAGAATAATATCAATAATTATAAAACGATATTAGCTTAAAATAGTTTTAAAAATTGAGAAATGCAGTATAAGTTAAAATATTTTACCGCTTCCGCCCAAATAAATTATATTTGTTAAAATTTTGTTTTTTATCGCACCATTTGTCAGTGACAAAGATTTTTATGACATCCAACCAACTGAATCTGAATCCAACTCTCGTTTTTTGTGTCTTAATAAAATCTAAACAGTACCTAAAATATTGTATTATAAATATACTGTCACCCATTTATTTGTTTTGTCACTAAACAGAACAATGTGCAGAAAAACAACATATTTTAAACTTTACATCAATTAATTTATAAGACGTTTCTTGATTTTACGAATATTATTAAATAAAAGTTACTATACAGTACGAGTTCGAGCCATGTGACAACGACCCCATAGACACAGTGACCATAGAGCATGACTCTGTGGCACTGACACTGGGCCAGGAGGCACGCAGGTGGGCCACACGAGTGGTCCGAGAGACAGCGCTGGTGAGGGACGCCACCCGTAAACTGCATCTGTACCAAGCTATGAGGGATGCCGGCCAAAAGGTAATTTTCTCTCTATTTTTTCTTTATTACCAAAAATATATTACGTATATGTAATGAATAAAGTACAGTCAGATTTCGGAGGGAGCCTGGAGATCTGTAGTACAGGTTTCTATCTAATTCCGACTCAAGACTATCACAAGGAATAACTTGTAAGTTTAAATATAATTTATTTATATTATAACTGTCTGTTGTAAAATTAATTTACCTAAAATTGTATTGCTTAATTTGTGATTTATATTGTTTATTATAAATTTATATAAAAAAATTTAAACAGGTATATGAAATGATAAATCGCCACTTACATATTTCTACGTCATCGTCGAGTGCTAAGTTGTCATGTTTCAGAGTAATAGTACTTCAACTACTAACTCTCAAACTTAATTCTCGCATTTCTCAGTAAGAGAGTTTAAACTTTGTGTTCCGCGCTTTCCTCGTTTAATTAGGATAAGAGTATTATAACAAATGTAAAATAAGCAAATTATTACAAAAGAATATGCCGCTTCTACCTATTCACTGCTGCCTATAATTAAATTCCAGTCCGACTTAATCTTTTTCAGTATAACAAATAACGTTTCAAATATAATTACGATTTTGAATAATTTTATTCATTCATCTCAATTATATCTAATAAGAGATACAACGCATTAAGTTGATTTATTTTGTAGTATGTATCAATATAATATCTTTTATAAAAAATATTTTATTATCTAAAAGTTCATGAATTCATCATACAAGGCTCAATAGTCAATTCTTCCTTCTAAAGATTTCTTTAATTTATCCATATATATATATATATATTTGGACACGCTTATATTTATTCGAAAGTCCCTATACCTATCCTTATAATTCCATAATATAATAGTTGTAAATTTAATTGAAAAAATTTCATTAGTTGTCAGAACGGAATTTTGTGATTTCAATTTCCAATAGTTGTCATTTGTAGAGAAATCTTGGAATGTTCGGTTCCGATTCCCGACCTATTTACGAACAGTTCGTAGTGTATTGTCAAACTAAAATTATTTGAAAACATAAAGATAATAACTACGTTTTTGAAAACACTACCTTAGTTGTAGTGTTAATCTAGGATATTAGAGCATCGCTAGAATCTTTCAACTTAAAAATGGGTCGCGAATTCAGTAGCTAATCGTAAAAAATAGATCAGTTAACCGAATTAAAAGTCTGGAATAGACAACATTTATACCAACAGAATCTAATGAAGTTTATATAAAACTTCTGAACTTTCGACAGTAACATTTGCGATTGGTCGTTTAGTAACAAACCCAAACTAAATAGAGATGTTCATTAGTAAATTTTTGTATTCTTTATACGTTAAATAATGTTACCAGTTACGTTGTTATTAATTATTCTGATCCCATTAAAAAGTTATCAAACACATCTGGTGTATATATGACGTGATAAATTAACGTGCAGATCCATTAACTGATAGTTTATCAAATCAGTAATGGTCGTATATTTTTTAAAATAAAAATAACTACATTCAGGTTATCAGGGACTTTGTCAGATAATCTGTTAATAGGCATACTAAAATTCCATTAAATTGGTTGTAAATATTTATTGGTTTTCACAGTGAATTGTAGAAAGGGGTCGTAAAATTATAGTTATGGTAACTTTATTAACTATGTACAAGCTATTAGTATACAATAAATTATTACTTCAATTGAGATTGTCGTCGCGTAGAGTTTACCACCCCAAATTAGGCTTACAATGTTGTGATAGTAAATAAACTTTGTATGTCAATTGATATTTCTGACTTATTTCTGGGTGAAGGAAAGACCCAAAATCTATATCATATTAAAAAGTTAATACGAGAGACAGAGAAAAATACCCAGATCGAAATGTGACTATAAAATGTGTTCACTGTTACGTCGACAATTGACCGTGCCTCTGACTACCTCGCCCAAGAAAACGTGCCGTTATCCCACGTAAGGTATTTGTTATTAAAGATTATTGTTAAAGACTATAATTACTACAAACCTATTGAAAACAACTTATTCAATAGGATTATCACCATTTCAATAGAAAGCCCTTTAACTGCGTTAGCGTTAAACTTTTAACATATTAGTTCATATGATTATACATATGTTTAATAAAGCGCGCGAACAAATATCGGTGAACTAGTGCAGTTCTATAACTTAATGCAGTGCACAAAACTTTTCAACATAATGTCATTATTTAGCTTGCAGATTTAGACCCAACGCTCAGTTATAGTTTTAGATAATATCTACATACCCTTCTGTATAGCCACAGATAATATAATACTACATAGAAGTTTGCAATTTAAATTAGATTGTAGTTTTACGTCCTATCGCTTTTTTATTTATGGGAGATATGTGAATAATACATTAAAGCACAACATTACCGAATTCATAATAATAATTGTGTGAATTTTTGTACGAGTTTGAACTCGCGCCATCAGATAATTCATTATTTATATCTTTCAATTTTATTTTTTTCAAGGTAATCTGATGATGGTGTAAAAATAAAGTAAAATACCAGTGAAATTTCATACGACAATACGTGTAAAAATTTGGATTTAAATATCTTAAATATTAACAACATTAATATAGTACAAAAAGAGAAATATATGAAGAGTTTTCCAAAATATGTAATATATAAATAAAAATAATAGTCCTTAGAGATAGAGAACTAAAAATGAAAACGTATCCCCTTGCCTTCGTCCCTTTAGTGTTAGCGTCGCATATCTTATTCATCATTTATAGACCCATCGACATAAATGTTACATGTAGAAAAAACGTACTCATGCAACGAATAGGTAGTTATATAAAAGTGTTTAATACATAAACTCTTTTTAACTCGTTTTCTAAAACGTTAGAAATTATGAACATTTAGGCAATCGTCATCATAAGATCTGAGATTCAACTTGAAGTTTCGGAAATTTATAAAAGTTGATTGCCTTTTCATCGCCATTGCCGTATCGTATTACGTACATAATGAACTTACCAAAGTCTTTGTGTCACGCGGAAAAAGTTTTATTTTTTTACTTCTCTTCATAAAACGGAAACTCTATATAATGTAATAATATATCTCGTATCTAAAATTTCCCTATTTGCCATCTACACTCTAAAATTGGCATAAATATTGAGACTTTTTGTTTAATGTAGGTGGATCCTAACGACCCAAACGGACCAGAACTCGAGGTTAGAATGGATGAACTGCGAGCTAACATACGTCGTTCTGAGACCTCCAAAGCTAAGTACGAGGCCAGACTAGAGTGCTTGAGGACCGGTGGCGCTCCTGTCGATGAGTGGTTGAAGGAGGTTGATCTCCTTGCTGTGCAGGATACACTGCCTCGCAGTAGTAGCCTGCTAAGTGTGCGGACGGATGCATCTGGTGCGGCTGTAAGTATCTCATTCAGTTATATATAGTCATGTATTCGTTGTTATTTACTTGATACGCATTAAATTGCTGTATTTAATTTGTTCACTAAGATTTTTACTCCAAAAATGGAATGTGGTTTAGTGATAAAATTAATAGATAAAAATCCATACAAATCTCGTTAAATAAACTCTGCCACTGGAAAATAAATAAATGGAAAAGCTTGCATAGAAGTTAAAAATTAATTGAATCAATGAAGTGCATTCTTTCCTCTTGCATAGGATCAACCCAGTTCCGATTCATTCTACGACAGCGACAATACTGAAGGGGAAGCCGGTACATCGGGAGGAGTTACCGCCGCGTCCGGTGGTCACCAGCGGACCACCTCGGACTCGCAGCATGAAGACGAACACGACGAAGATGTTGATGGTATATGATCCAAAATAAGATAACTCCCATATCTAGGTACTGGTATCAATCGCCTATTTTTTTATACCACGATGGTGGAAAATTGTGGTTTCGCCTATATGACACATGGACAGACACCTGGATGTCACAGAAAACACTGTAATATCAAAGAAATAAAATATGAATAAAAATAGCGTACTCGTGCCTTTCCATTGCATTGTTGAGATAATGTTATCACAAACGCAGAATCAGACAAGTGAGACAGAAATACTACTAAAATGCTAGCCGAAAGTGTAATTTTAGTGTAACTAAACTTTCATTACCACTGATAACATAAATACGGTTACGACCAGTGTAAATACGTTTTCATTTGTAACGATTAAAAATAATATGGTCCAACAAACTTTCATTCCATTTTATACTCAACTATTTTACCGAGATACATGATTATGGTTTCAATACACGAGAATGTATAACCGAATTCTACTCTGTAATTAAAAAAGTAGTTAATTTTATTTCTTTATTAAATTGATAGAGAGGAAAACTTATATAATACTAGCTATGCCCGCGGCTTCATCCGCGCTGAACTTCAATAAAATTATGGCGTATTATAGCTTATGCATAAGAATATATGCATAAGCTATATTATTGTAAAGTGTCATTAAAATCCGTTCAGTAATTATTGCTTGAAAGAGTAAGAAACATCCTTACTTACAAACTTTCGCATGTATATTAAAGATAAACGTATAATACTTTCTGCATTGGAGCAATGATAAATATTAGCAATGAAATGTGAACTCACAAACAATTATATTACAGCTGTTCTGGAAGAAGAGCGGATGCGGATAGAACAACTAACAGTGGGTTGGGACGATCCCACCCAAGTGAACTGGGGCGAACCGGAATCCGATACCGCGGCGCCGGAGACCAGGGAACCGCCAGCGGCACCATTGTACAAATGCACAGCATTGTACTCTTATACGGTAACTATCCATATCTTTATACCTCGACTGTTATAAACTTTGTAAACAGAGAAAACATATTGTAAAAAAAATTCTAAACGTTTATTTTTCCTTACCTCATCAATATCTTACTGTTCTCGTACATAAATTATGATTGATTTCGGAATATACATTTCTAGTAAGTTATTTAATTAGTCTTTCAACTGATTGTATTTAGTCATTTGAAATTATAGAAAATATTTATAGTAAAACTTTATCTTTTCCTTCCGTTGTCGTATATATATTATGCCTGATTTCAGAATATCAATTAAGTAATAGTAAGTTATTTATATTCCGTCAACTGATTGGGATTAGTCATTTGAATGTTCCATATATATGTATTATTATAAATATTTAAGACTTTTTTAAACGGATTCAAGACGACTTGAGGAGGAGGTTCAATTCAACTGTATTTTCTTTTTATGCTACTTTAAAATATATTTAACATAAATCAAAGTAAGAATATAAATTTATGCTAATATATTGCACTTATTTACCGAGTGATTAATACTAATACTTTAATAATTTATATATATTTTTAATTATTGTCGATTTATTAATATCTCAATACAAATTATTACCGTCTTTGATACGTATTACCATTTTATTATTACGATCTTTATACAAAATTTACATGTATTATACTGTATTAATTTTTATAAAAAAATATTTTGGTTATTTTATAAATAGGCTCAAAATCCAGACGAGTTGTCTATAATAGAAAACGAACAACTGGAAGTGGTTGGCGAGGGTGACGGTGATGGGTGGCTCCGAGCCAGGAACTACCGCGGCGAGGAGGGCTACGTACCACACAACTACCTGGATATTGACAGCGAACAGGTAACAACGGTACTGATATCCACCTTTCTTCTTGCTTTTAACTATTAACTTCTAATTTCTCTTCATAGCTTCACCCGACTCTTACGATGACTTAACTTTTTTCTTACAATAAGATGCATGCTTTTTGCTATAAACTTGCTCTAGGAATGGACAATGACGGAAAATCGAAGACAACTTTTTGAAGTCCTAAGTCTGGGTGGTTTTGTCTAAAAGTCCTTTATGCTATATAAAACAAGCGTTATTATTAATTGCATTTATATAGCATAACGACAAAACGAATTTCGACTAGCAGTTGTCTTTATAATACTATATATATAATAAGACTTGTAAGTTGATTTTGGAATAACCTTGTGAAATAACTTTTCTATATGAAGTAAAGGTATAGTATGTCATCTGATAACGTGATGACCGTAGTGCTATTATAGTACGGTATATTGGGGACGGTTACCACTTACCATCAGGTGGACTTGTTGATTATTCCAATTACATAAAAAAAAAAGGTAATATAAAATAATACAAATAAGTAAAAGTTGTTGGTGATACAATATGATATTAATAATTAAGCATTATACACACTGTTCACCAAATAAAAAATAGTATAATTTATGCTACGCTAAAATATTCTTTCTATGTTGATTTTAAATATGTGTACAAACATTGATATTGTTACAGACATCAAGTGCTCCCGGCCTGGTCACCCAGATATCGTTCTCTTCAGTGGACTACACGGTAGAGGGAGAGGACGCCGACGTAGTACAATCCCCGGATCAAATATCCGTGATATCGGCGCCAGTCGCGAAGCCTGACGAACCAACAAAGGTGGAGGCCCAGAAACCAGAAGTATCGAAGGTGGAACAGCTCCCAACTTTGGGCTACTGCTTTGCATTGTATGATTACGATGCAGACGCTAATGATGAGCTAAATCTGGAAGAGGGGCAGGTGAGTGAAGATTCATGTTCATCGTTAATTGAGCTGGAAATAAAAGCGTTTAACTCGTTTTAACTCGACTGTGTCTATGATAATTCTGAATTTATTTGTAAAACTTTCAGTCGACTTAAAACAACGGTGTTCTCAGTTCAATCCTATTTTTGTGTGAAGTAACACACAAAATTTATTATACGTGAACCGGTTCGATGATTACTTTTTTTATTGAATGAAAGTTGGTACTTCCCATATAATAATATTATTAACATACACGGTATAATAGTAAGGGAAGCTATCTCTAGAACTACTACCCAATTTCAAATTATTTTTTTATACCACGTAGATGGCAAACTAGCGTACAGCCCATCTGGATGGTAAACGGTTCGAATCGAAATTCTTTCAGAGTTGGATAGCCCATTTATCGAGAAAGACTATATGATATATGCACGCTATATCACGCTACAACAAATAAAAGTCGATCTGCATTGAAATATGGTGCAAAAACGGGAAGAAGTGACGCAGATGTGGTGCGGGACAGATAGTTTACTAACAAATATATCTCTAGATACGTAAATATTTAAATGTAATTGCAATGTTTAGATAATTCGCATCGTATCGCGCGATGCTCACGGCGTCGATGACGGCTGGTGGCGTGGTGAGGCCAACGGTATTGTTGGCAACTTCCCGTCTCTCATCATCGAGGAATGTGATGAGGTAAGGCATCGCTTTATACTGACCGAAAATTTATGGTCTTGAAGAAATTACCTTGGAAATTTAATAACAACTGTAAATAATAATAATAAGTTTTTACTTCTTAAAACCTCTTTGCCACACATTTTGTTTTTATCATTTGCTAAATCTCTGAAAACCTGTTGCGTTCTCTAGAAATGTACTGTTGATTTAATGTACTGTATTATATGCCGTTGGTTTTCTAATAAACAAAATAAAAATATCTATTTATTTCCAACATTAACACAATTATATAAACGTTATTTAAAAAGATTGAAAATTGGTACAAACTAAAGTAATATCAACTTAATAGATTCTTCACAGTGATCGTTTATTTTTTATCGAGATTCTGTACGATGTCATTTGCGTGGGTACTCTGACTGAACTATTACAGATTGTTTTCAGTTCATGAGTAAAATATACAATGGTATTATTACAGTTCTCGGGAGACTTGAAAAATCGAGAGAATTTTTAAAACAGTTGAAATATATTCTTGAATATTAGACAATAATAGCCTTTGATTTTAATATATACAATAATACAGAATAAATGATAATAATCAGCATAATGCGTACAATGATAACGTATCAGGTTTACCATGAGCGTCAAGTGACGACGTGATATCAGTAATGTTCATTTCATATAGGCGAGGGTTGCCACTTTTAGACAGGCCGTTCGAGTTGCATAAAACAACTTGATTAACATGACTTCAAATATTATCCTTAATCTCTTGAAGAAGAAGAATCTACTGTTAACCATTTAACCAGATTGTTAAAATATTACCATAATAGGATTCCTTTCGCTTTCAAAATGAATAGAAGTTTGTATAATGTAGACAAGCAAAGCAAAACTGAAATTTGGACAATTGTACTTGTTCATTGTATTTGCATTTATTCTACATATACAATGAGGAAAATAATGCAACTAGAAAGTAGCGAGGCATATATAGATTTAACTGTTGGTTTGTTAGTAGCATTTTTATTACTGGACAATATTTTTAGTGTCGCCGAGATTCGTAATTATGATCTTTGGTGTTTGGGGCTGTAGACGACTAGGTCAAACGAACTACAAATTCTTCCATGTAATCAGAATGAGAACCACTAACCCAAACTACAAATTCTTTCTTGTTATGAGAATATGGAGCCACTAAGTCAAACTACGAATTGTTCCTTGTTATCAGAATGGGGAGCCACTGAGTGGTGGCGAAGACTGGACACCACCAGGTTCTGCACCACCCGTGTTCGCGTCGCCGCCCGGCTCCCCGCCCGGCACCGGCTGCGAGGACGAACGTAAGCCCCATTTCTTCTCTGCTCTTCTGTTCTCTGCGCACAGGCTAAACGAACTTGGACATCTTTGTTTCTACACTTCAATTCATACATTAAAAAAGTTAAGTGAACGTATTGGGTATAGAAATTTATTATTCAACATGTATTAAATGTCATTTTTAAAGGTTAAATATTTTGAAAGAAATATATACCAATACAGAATTTACTTAGAAACTGAACCGGCTAGAAATTCGACTATTTAAGTTGACTGATATTATATGACAATAAGTTAAGTAACGTACAGAACTTATTGTCATATAATATCAGTCAACTTAAATAGTCAAATTTTTGGCCGTTTCAGTTTCCAAGAAAATTAAATGGAACTAGAGAATAAAATTTTCTGCCAGTTGTACAAATACAATATAGAATCATCAAATGAACCAAATAATAATATACATATATACAATATGTATAATATATAACATTTGAGTATCAGGTACTCAAAAAACAACAAGTGATTTATAAAATATAATGACATTATCAATTAACAAAAATGTTGGGAATATAGATAACAATCAAGTTCATGAAACAAATAGTGTCGTACGATTATTTTAGTAATGGATAAACATATAGGTAGGCCACCCATAATTTTTTGATAATCGTTATCAATGATTAATCAAATTCTGTGCTAGACACTCTAGCGACGGACATTAACAAAATGATAACAAATTATAAACTACTATCGATTGTTAACAACTACTGCTTATCCACAAAAATTATACGTATTTTGATATTGGCTAAAAAATTATTTAGTCTGAACTCAAGCATATTTTAGCAGTACCTATGTAGAATGAACACATCGTAAGTAATGTTATAAGATTAGATTTAAAAAGTTTTCTGCTTTTCGCTACTATATCACAAGAACTAGTATCTTTACTAGCATACGCTTATACGCGAGTAGATCAGACTACTCAGAAATAGATTTCGCGTCTTATACCATATCGTAAAAATAGGCAGTACAATACTTAAGCAGCATAACTCTATTGATAAATTTTCTTACTTCATTATACGCAACTTGCTTGCTTGTTGAACTTGTGTGATCATATGTCTAAGCGAGTAATGTTAGGTGATATTATAAAAAAAGATTTGAACAGTTTGTTGTAATCATTATGTAGGTAACCGTGTCATTGTTTTTTTTTACGTTACTATAAGCACTAATCAATTTTCTATACATAATCGTATACTGTACTGTACGTATGTCTGAGTTTTGAAAAACATTGTGCATACAGTATGAAGTAAAACCAAAGGTGTCCTTGTTCTGAAGCCAATCTATACGTATACCTAAATGTGTTTCATCTCCGTATATACGTACCTTTTGTATTGTAATGTACACATAGTGGCAATAAATTGTGCGGTTGTTCACGCAACATAGATAGCTTTTTGGCTGATTGGGTAAATAGTTGTGGATTTTATTCCCAATTGGCATGGTATTTGCAGTTTCAGTGAATGGCACGACTTCAACCGCTATAGTTTGGTAAAACAGCTAGGAATCATAGGCCCATCCCACATTGTCGTTAATGCATGATGTTTTGCACGATTACTTAATAGATAAACTGACCAGCCTGGTTTGTAAATTAAGTGATTCCAAAGGAAACTCTGCGTCGACTGTTCGTCTCAATTTTACGCGATATTGGATTTACGTCTGAGGAATTAATTCTGTTATGCACAGTATCATTATTACGTTCTTCAAAAAAATTCTAAGCTTTGTTAATTTTGTAATTGTCTGTGATATGGATTTGTTTTTCATATGAATTCTATATGACACGCCTTCTTTACTTCGCCTACACTACTGCAAATTTATTTCTCAATGTACCTACTGTGTGTTTATCTTCTGACTGGTAATGTCTTGTTGTCTGTTGTAATCTAATTAATACTATATGGCTTTATATTGTCAATCTAAATTCGATTTCTATGCATAAAATTGGGCCATTCAAACTTTTATAGACGTTTTATTGAAATATAAAATGCCTAAATCCTTACGCGCCATTCAGTTGACTTACTAACAATAGCTTTATGTCAATCACATTTATTGAACAGATATATGTATATCATGTAAACATATGGATAGAAAGTCTAGTTTATTTTATAATATTTAATTGTTCTAATATAAATAATTTAAGAGTATTAATTATACATACACATATGTACTATATATATTATTTATTTACGATATAGATAACTAATATTAACGTGTACATGAGTGCGAGTGTTCAATATAGGAATAGACAACTTAAAATCAACTGGCAATGCAAAAACTTTCATCAGTTTTTTCGTGTTTGAAATCAGAGAAACCTTAAAAAACAGTCAACTGAATCGCGTATACCCAATGTAGACAGAGGCGGTCCTAGCCTCGACATCGTCGTTAGCTCGATGCCTACTCTACATCTACTGGTAGGACCGCCCCTGGTTTCGGCTGAACTGTATTTGTCCTTGGACGCTGCTAGTGATCGTGAATGAAAACAACAATACAAAAAGCGCGGCGCCACCGGCGGATCCGCCACCGCCGCCGCCGGCAGACCTCGGCGACTCAATGGATAGCCAGCCGGACTTCAGTTTTAACCTAGAACTCACAAGGAACCAGCATGAACAGTACGGTACGCAGTTCTCGGCTCCGGACATTGTCGGACCTGCTACTGTCACCATAGTTGGTAAGTTACATTCGGAGACAACTGCCGGTGCATATAGAAAAGCCTATAGATTTTAAAGAACAGAACAAGAGCTGATAAAGGTAGATAACTTATGAACAGTGATAAATTTTGGAAAATATTTGATAATTACAACAAAGCTGCAAAAGTAATTGTTTCATAGCAATCTTAATCCAGAAAATAGTCGATTCAAAACAATATTGGCACAATATCCAAAAATGGTCTCCAATGCAGTGGAGTAATTAAGAAATGTTATTTCTTATTACATTATAGTAATAAAATGGGGAGGTATGAAAGAGGACTCTCTTGCTTTGTCTAAATCTGTGTCCACGCATTAAATAAAAAACTTGGACGTAAATGCCTGCTATATAATCAGCTTATAGTATTTTCTGATTTCCTATACAAAAGGAACGTAACCTACAGCTTTTTAAATAATTAAAAAATAAGTTAATGCTGTTGAATATTATTGTAACGAATTTATTTGCATGAAGAATTTTAAATTGTCAAAGCCTACACACGGCTACATAATTAATTTTGAAAAGTTTACACCTCCATATTGATTATGGTGCACATATGCCATTTTACAGGTGTCTTTTAAATTGTTTGTGTAAATATTACATATGGCCAGTGCTAATTCTGTATGAATTCTTTTCCATGCTTCAGTCGATGAGGTTCTGGGTGACAATTTTGAGGACGAGGTTTGATTTTTATTACAAAATACTTCATTTTAATGTCGTTATATGTAATGTAGGTGTGCTTTGTTGTCGCCTCTTTGTACATAGAATATTATTAAGTAATAAGGCTTGTTGCTATTATTTGTTTTACTGCGCTTACTAAAGCTTTTGTATTGCAGGATATACTATGTACAGCCCGCCACATAGTGAGCGATATCATCTCCCAAGCGCAATCAGTTCTAGTCAGCAATCAATGGTAGATAATGTTATAGATGGTATACAAAACATTTGTGGTCGACTGTACCATACAATACACGGACATAATTTAATTTTTCTTTTAAGGTGATAGAGGAAAATGTGAACACTACAATTAAAGCTTTGTATCGTAGGTAATTTGATGCTAACACTTATCCCTCAAGTGATATGATACCTCCTGCTTATAATTTTAATGATCAATTATTTAGAATAGTTCATATCACCACAGCATGTTGCTTATTAATTGCATGTTAGATTACTCGTACCTTGTAGTACTCGTAGTTTGGTTATCTAAAACTATTTACCTTTCAATGTCTACGAAAGCAAATCCACTTTAAAATTGAACGAAGCACTGATCTTTTCTAACCCGCATTGACCCTTTGACGACTATCTGCCGACAGAAACCTAACGGACTCTGTTTATTTAGGAGGAGGACGAGCAGCCACCTCCGCCGCCCCAGCCGATCAAGCCTGTGCCGCCAAAAGTTGAACTGCCAGACGACTGCGGGCTTGGCGTGGCACAAATCGTGATCACAGCCGCCACGCCGATGATCGAAGAGCCTGAACAACCGTTCCCACCACCTGAGCCGGAGCCGGAGCCCGATCATCACGAAGAACCCGAGCGCAACGAAGACAACGAAGATGATTCTTCTCTTTCGGAGCAAACGGCCGTCTGCCTTCGAGATTCTGATGATGGGCCGGCGGATTCGGCACCCCACCCAGCGTCCAGTTCTACAGCTTCGGAAGGTGAGTCGACGGGGGCTTCAGTAGCGTCCGGTCCGCCAACTGCCCCACAGTCGCCCCCGGCGGCTCCACGTGCAGGCCGAGCCTCTATTCCTGACGAGTTAGAACCGGCACAACTAGCAAGGCTCACAGACTTGAAAGAGTCGAATGCTTAAGCCTAAAGCGACCCGCCTACCGTTAAGCCCGGTACTGACGATGTATGTAAACGGATTTCATAAGTATTAGTTTAAATATCCACGCATAACTTTTTACACAGAGACTGCACTTTAAAGTACATTTAGTAGAAAGTTATTAATAAAGTATAAATTTATATTTCCAAGCTATATTACCTTGAAGTCACTTCTATGTAAAGTAGAACAAGCATACCCTAAGGTATCCTCCAAATTGGAAAATTTTAACAAAATCTGTTTGACAATGAACTATTGTCTCTTAGTTTTCATTATTATTTCAATTGGTATTAAATAATTTCAGAAATAAATAACTACTCTGTAAAAAGTAGTGCGAGAGCATCTAGCTCATCCGTTTGGATGCATCGTCACTTTCGAGATTAAGACCAACCGCGTATTGTGAAAAAAATTAAATTAGACAAATTCTGACGCTCACGTGAATTCAGTTTGAACTGGATGAGAGAATAGGGCAGTCCACGGGATTTGGTATGAAACGTCAGTCGAGCGGCGGAATTTTTCTATTAGAAAATGTTTGACAATTCGCGACTGGACTTGAGCTGGCGCTACTATGATCAATTAGTATGTGGCCAACAGATACCCCTAGTATGTAACCCTGCCTATAATCTCCTTACACTACGAACTTTGGCACATATTGGTTGATCAATTATGACCGTTTCTCTGCCATACAACTTTTAATTTCACATAGTATATATACTTATATAGCAACGCGATATTGTTCCATGTAGTCAAATAATAAATTTTGATGGCCAAGTTTATAGTTTCACGAGATTACCAACAGTGCGTGTAAACAAATTAATTTCTAAAAGTTACCAGAATATGTACCTAATTTAGATAGTTTATTAGGTATAAATTAAGTTTTACTATTTAGCTTTCAATCGAATTTTATCACCGTTTCGATTGTACAATAATATATATAGTTACAGCAAAAGTTTTGTTAGAAAATATTGATGTTAGAATAATATTGTTATAACATTTAATACTTTGTTACAATAGAAATACATTATATCTCTATTTACGCCTATAAAACGATATGAAATGTAGGTGCCTAAGTAGTTTACAGTGTGGTTCCTGCTATAGATATATGTATTGCCTATTTGATTCAGTGTCGATCAATTGTTTTATTTAGTTATAGAAAAAATTAACGTTTTTAAGTTAGTCAAATTAGTCGCCTTACAAATAAATTATAAAAGTTCTCAGTAGATTCTGTGCGATATTATTTTTTTAGGATTAGTTCACTAATAAATTAGAAAATATCTCGATATTCTACTAATTCTTTATTAAAATAGTTTTTATGTTGCGAACAAACTAAATAATGCATCGAAATCAACTTTCTACATGTAAGCTTTGTACCTGAAAACATACATTCTTATGCGAAGTGATATTATCATTGTTCACATATATACTTAGAGAATTCTATAGAGTTTTATTAATGTTGAATTGTGTTGTGGTTTTTATCGAACCAATAGTTATAACCGTGCGAGTGAGCCACGCAAGTGGCACCTGTGATGACAGTGGCGGCATGGGATATGGTATGTGGCAGTCGCTTCAAGGTAGAGTAAACCAGAAACGACTTTAATTTGCTGACCTGAGTTAGAGAGGTGAACATCTCAGAAATAATCAAGTAAATTAGTTATGATTAAACAAAGAATATTATAACGATACGTATACTTTACCTCACTTAGTATTTTAACTTTACTTGCAAGTAAAGGAGAGTATTGTTCTGCGAATATTAATATTATTATATGTGTATGTAGCAACTAGGGTGTAGTAATGCCCCAAATACTGCCTAATCAAACCAACTGCCGGTAACATAGGTCTACTTTAAGCGAAAGGATAGAACGTTTTATTTATGTACCTAAAATCATTTTCCAAGTAGGTGGCTCTAACTCACTTGATCAACCAATTTATTGTATATGGCGCAGCGAGAAACGGTCATAACTATATGTAGATGTATTGTGTATATACCTAGTTAATATTTATTATTAGATTTATTGAAGCACGATCTGTGGACTAGAAGGTATGATGAGACGTACGATAGGCGATTTGCGACATGTTCTTCTGGCTTAAGTATTATGCATGACTAGGGTTACCATATGGAACAATTATATATTCTAGTCGGTACAAGCAATATTTTTTAAATTATTATATTAGTTATTTTAGTATAATATTAAATTTCATGATTAACCAATTGTATTGGAAACTCATTTAATCGAAATGCTTGTTCAAATTGATTAATGGATTTTTTTTTTTAATAAAAAAAGATTTTAATAAATAATTGTTTACAAAGGCTGCTTTCCAAACGTATCAAACCATATGATAGCCTTATTTATGACACCACATACGAATATAACTACGATGAAGCCCGCCATCCGTACATGACCTCTACTCTGGTCGCGGCAACGTAATAGTTAATTATACCGTACATGTTTAAACTGGCAACATCTGCATTATTATGTAACAGCATTATATTCAAAATAAAATGTATGTACATTTTCAATATTTCTCAATAATACTTCTTTCTACTATCCCAATACCACATTAACATCAGTTCAGTTGTAAATTATCAATTACATGTATGTAATGGTTGTTAGAAATATTTTGTGTACGATTTTTTCTATTATTAAATACAGACGTTGCCAGTATTAATAGTTTACACTTCATGTAACAAGATGACAATACGAAAAATCTGTTTACCGTGCTTTATTGAAAATCAATTGTAGAAGATTACTAACAAACATTATTGTTGAATGTGAGTTGTAATTTATCAGTTTAGGTGAGATTCATATAGAAATGTGTAAAGTGCTATATAAATAGCATGATACGTTGAGTACAACAGGTTACCAACACATGAGCCATGGGTTGATATTGAAGGAGTTGTGTGTTAATACAAGTAACAAATGCTTTATATTAAACCCTGAGTAATTTTATACATATTTGGCAATTTGAAAACACAACATAACTAAAATATATCATTACTCAATACTCAATTAAATATAATTTATGCTACTTGATACAAAATTTATCTAAATGTTCTCTAAATTATCAATTTTCTTATTTATTTTCACTCTAGGGAATGCGTGTAATCGAAAATACGCAATATGGTATCAAGCCATTGAATTTTACTATTGCAAAAACATTAACATTAATATAAGAAAAAATGAGATAATATTCAATGAGCGAGCGTATGTTTAAGAAAAGTTACAGGGTGTTACTCCCTTCTCATTTCAACATCAGAGAAAAGTCATTTAACTATTTTGAAACTTATTTCTTATCTATTTTGCACTTTAGTCTTGGTATTCTAACGGCGTGTCCACCAACAATGTTTTATATTATGCGTGTGTAAAAACAAAGTGTTCATACGGAGTTCTGAACATGGTGGAACATGTACAAAACATGTGTGTGAAAATGTCAGTTTCCATCAAAACATATGTCATAAACACAACCTGTTCTGTGACATGTATTTTTTGTAGAAATGCGATATTACGATATGGGTTAACCGAATACTAAATAACACTAGTACCTAATTTCTTCTTATCACAGTTCCTCACAACTCAATAACCGTGCGCAATGCGTGTACGCACTTGACCACATTACCTAATGTATTTTACAGAATGTATTTGTCATGTTTATGTAGTGACTGTTAGCTGTTATTTATACGTATCTAATCACACATAAGTAGACAGGACTATACAAATTAGTATCTTGTACCACTATAGTGCAGTTTGTTGCATATTTATCACGTTATCGATTTTATTGTTACTAATGTATTCAATATATACTATAGATTAATCGAACAGTCCTTGCCCTTTGCAATTTTTGACAGCTTAATGAAATTGTACAATAACAATTGAGGTGCATGATCCGAATAATATGGAATGTATGTTATATATTGCATATAGAATATATTGATATTAATGTTGTTTATCGTCACTGAAAGGTGTAAAATAAAGGCCCAATCAAAATAGAAGTAAGAAGTTATGATAATTAGATTCAAGTAGTAGTCGGATGTAGTACAACTGCATCCGAACTTAATATGCCCAGTGTACTTATGGACTCTTATATTTGTCAGATTTCTATCTATTCGAAATAAATGTGAAAACAACTTATTGTTGAAACAAAAAATAATGTTATGGATACATCTCTCACTAGAAGTCACTCTTTGAATGGATTTTTAAATTTTCTTTTTTTGGTACGATTTCCCGTCGACTTCTACAACGTCTTGTGAATTATGATTATGATGTTCCTAATGTATTCCTATTTTTTCACTACGTGGAGGTACTCAAGTTTCAAACATTATTTTTCATCATCCCACAATTGGGTACTGCTGGACATAGACCTCTTCAGGGAACTATACTGTATACTATCCTCAGTCCTTCAGTTATTATACGCAACTATACTCATCCATAATAAACAATTAAATAAACTAATAGAAAACACAACTTCAATAAAATTTCTTATAATATTAATTACCCTTATCAGTGCCTATAGATGACATGTCATGATTCAAAATTGTTAAACTTCCAAACAATTGACTTTTTAATAAACGCGGCATTATTGTTATATCTAATATCATTGTTATCATAGATCATGTGTTGAAGAGGTTTGTAGCACTCTATAGTATAAATAATTATCACTGTAACAAAATTTGCACAGGTAAGTTGACTGTTACTATATATATATATATATACAAACTATCATTGTTTGTGACAACTCAAAAACGTATATTAATTTTAATCTGTAATGGTATAAATGTACCTAAGTGTTGCTTTTACTAGAAAATGAAATTGAAAGTTAGCCTTTAGCCTGTCTGCTGGGATTTAGCTAGATGTATTCAATAATATACTTAAACACACATTAGTACTGTTTTATTTCAAAACGACTTTGTGAAAATTATACCCTTGTTAACTATTACTACATGCCTACATTGTTGAAGTAGACATATGACATGTTATACTTGTTTCTATCAAGCGTTAAGTCAAGCGGTAAATTTTATAGTGCTCGTCTTTATTTCACGTCTGTGAGGCTAATTGTTCTAGTCACAGAATTCTAGACCATTGAGTGGAATATGTTATAATTATTTTCTAATCTTTTCATTGTTACTCGATAAAATATATTTGAAAAACATCCCCCTTATTTATAAAAACTAAAACCGCCTACTAACGCATTTTAACTATTCATAGTGTTTTGCCACTTTCTCTCAAGTTAAGAATATAGCTGAGAAAAAAGGACAAAACACTTCCATAGCTGAAATAGATTTATTACACTTGAAGTTTGTGTGAATATGGGGGACAATCATTGTAATATGATGGCATAATCTCAGCACAATGGTGATCTATTTAGAGTTATAGGTAATTGATATTCTGATGTATAAACACATAAGAGATACTATGAATTAAAGAATGAAGATAACTAACGACGGTTTCGCATACAAGGTTATAGAGACGGATTTAATTTTAGGGCTCGCCACAAAGTTTAAACTAGATACACTAAACTCAAGGCAGTATGACTGTCTGTTTAAGTCAATTCAATAATAAAATATTATGAGAAATGCATATATTAATTTATATATTAATATTTAATCCTTACTTGTGAAAATTCTCGAAGGACACTCAATTATTTATAAACACTTTAATTACTACGATAATAAACTCGCGAAAGAGATAGGTAATCCCTATTTTGGGAGTTATGATTATATCTACAAGATGTGAATGATATAAAGTCGTTTTTGTGAACACCTTAGTCTCAACTTTTTTAGGCGCCAAGCAGCTTTTGGCTGTATTTCAGTTGTAGGTTGCGATTAGATAGTAAAATTATAAGGATGAAAATCTTCGTCCTCTGGAATGGTAATGTATAAATGGTACATGAATGCCGGCCATAGTCCTATTCATGTATATAGGCGACGGTTACCATTTACCATTAGGCCGGCGCCAGTAAGTTTGATTTTCTAATTACATACATAAAAGGAATACTAACAAAAACATATTATATGTTCGATAGAATTACACTTACATTGCTATAGTAAAATTATTCAAAAATATTTGTAGCAGTCTTATAAGTTGATATTAAAAGTACGAAATTATTGCCTAATTATGTAACTGATGTACGTGTATACGGAACCGTTGCTATGAAATTAAGACTTAGTATTCGTATGCGCAATGACCGTAATGGTCACAGGTTCGATGTATGGTTGCTTTAATGTTCCCCAATGCCTTTTCGACCTGCAATAAAATTTCTAAAATAGAAACTGTATTTTTACTGTTTTCTCCCTTTTATTTGTATGCAGATTCAGGTTAGATTTACTACACTATTTATTGCAGACTATATAATGGTGATCTAGGGTAGTGTTACTCTCAGGCATATTGTTGATTGCCATTCTAGGAACTGCAATAGGTTATATATTGCTCGTGTCGCCGTCGGAGCCATTTCGCATATACCTTCAAGCCCGGAAGGTATATGCGAAACTCCCAGCTCCGGCAAAGTTTTTTAGTGAGTAAAAATCTCACAAACCACCCCGCCATCCCTCCGGCGGGGTTACAGATTTTTGAAGATTTTCCACACGTTATAAATTTTTATTGCTCCTGGACATAAATCATATGGCGCTAGTAAGTGACTATTAAGTGAGCCGTATAATCTCTTACCTTGTAGTATAAAATAAATTATACGTACCTAACCCTTCGGACTATAAGGATAGTTTAAATAAACTTAATATCTAAGGGTAGCTTAGAGACAAAAATTAAGATTATAAATTAGTTATGCCAAAAATTATAGTAATATGTTATGCCGAATTTATTAAAAATTTGCTATTTATTTTTATATAACTGAATGGCAAATAAGCTGGTGGCCCGCCTGATGGTAAGTGATAATGATCACTCTTGGGGGGAAAGGGACTGTTAGTAATGTGGACTCATGGCCCCATTGCTAGCAATGTACCAAGTCAGGTTGACCTCCACGCGTTTCCTCCTGGAAACCATCGTTTTAAATGATCCAGATGAATTTATCATGATAGGCTAACTGACCTAATCTCATTCTCATCTTATCATCTTCCACTGGTGCCCCGCCAGCGTAAACCGTTAGCGCCGGCGTGTGCACCATTTCATTATCATATATAAAAAAAATGGTCACTCTTCGGGGGGAATGGAATTGTTAGTAATGTGAACGACATGTATTAAACCCATTGCTAGCAATGTATCATGTAAGGTTGTCCATTCGGTTCCCTCTGGAAACCGGAGGGAATCTAATACTGGTGAATTAGTTACGATGTGCTAACTGACCTGACCTCGTGTTCATCTTATTATTCCCCACTGATGCCTGCGGCCACAATTATCATCAATTAATAATAATAGTTTTAATAGTTCCTTAATAATAAATAAATATAAAACTAAAGTGTTATAATGTTAGATCATATAATTTGAGTATAGTTCAGGTTGAGCGTTTTAGATATATTTTTGTAGCGTCTTTAGTCAAATGAGACTCCTATGAGAGAGAAGAGCCTGACAGACGTGTTTGAAATATAGTGAATATTTTACATGAAAATATGCGTTCAGACCAGGCGCAAAATTAACATGAATTAAAAAAACATATAGCTTATATCAATTAGTTTATTAATCTAAATTAATAATGTTACAACATAATTGTAATATTTATAATAATATAATTACATCATATTAAGTTACTAAATGCATCTTGATGCAAATACTAGTAATAGTTATATATACATAAATTCGTAGACGTCAGTAGATATTATGACATGTTATCACATATATGACAATAAATACGAATACATAATCCATCCACAACAATAAAGTATACGAATTAATAATACACAGGCTTACTCAACACTTATTACTTAAACATTATACATTCAATTCGTTAACAGTGAACATTTGTATTAGGAGCCTATTACACCATGATATAACATAATAAATGTATATGTATAACATACAGATATAAATAGAATACAGAAACTACGTTTTTTTATTTAATAGATATGATATCCATATATTGTATACATGTAGGTTCGACATAACAAAAAATATTTTAATAATAATCTATTTATTCGGTTTAGTTTTGTTTTTAGAAGTAGTAGTGTCACAGTGCGCTCAGGTACAAAATAAAACACAGTATATACGAAATTAAATTACAAAAAGAGGTGTTATTGTATAAGAAATTTTTACAGGTAACCTGATTTTTATTTTCAGCTTGTACTATTGTATTAAAAAAATATATTATTATAATGAATTTAAAAAAATGTAACTGGAATGACGATAGAACTGACGGTTCACCACAGCATATAAATCTAGCTGCTGAGCGTCAGAACTGGTTAAAACAGTGGTATTATTCACTTTGACTAATAACTATTTATTTATGAAGCTTCTACGAATGTCCTTATTTTTCGTTTGTTATAATAAAGATAGTGCTTTGTCATTTGTGACTTGTGTTATGAGATTAATTAATATTTTATTAAATAGTACGGCATATTAAATATTACAGATTTTGATAATGTACTTTATCTTACAATATTACTTTTGTATTGTTGATAAATCTCATTAAACATATCTCTACAATTCAATTTAACTTTCATCTTAGAACACAGTAAGAATACTCCCGATAATTTCCTATGCAAGGAGTATATCTCTTCTGGGGGTGGACAGAGGCGATGCGTCAATATGGTAGGTACCAAAGCTTGTATCCGTCTCGTTGTTCTTTGTGTGCCAAAGTCGAATTCTCCTGTACCTTCACTAGTGAATACTTCACCCATTATCATGACGGTATCTATATGGGTCTCCTCCATGATCTGGAATTAAACATGATGCTTTATTAATAAAAAACCGATAAGGAAATAAACTTTTTATAATTAATGAAAATATTAACAATACATTAAAAATAATAACCTGCAACTTATCTGCTTTTTTATATAAGGTATATTTGTGTCCATCTGTTGTGACATAATTTAAACTAGAGATGTCTAATTAAATTGAAATCCATCAGATCTTTAGTTGTAAAAAGGTAATAGGAAAGAAACACTTTTGCATTTATAATATTGGGTTGTAACATAAGTTCGTTCGGTATTTTCCAAGTGGTTTATTAAAAAAAAACAATAGGTTAATCAATTATGTTTTCCTGTTACTATTTCAACTTCATTCCACCTCTCAACAAATTTGTTGATCCCGTTTGTCAAAAAGTGGTTGAGCCAATTTTTGAGGTGTTCTTCATGCATGCATGTTCGGGAGTACGGCGGGATCCGAAGAACCTCCCATTCGAGGTCTTGGATGGCTGCTTTGACGACTTGCTCAACATGGGACTTAGCGTTGTCGTGGAGCAGGATGATTTGGCCTTGTCGATTGGGTCTTTTTGGACGAATAGCCTCATTTCACGCGGTGTAATTGAGCAATATAGAGCTTCCTGTTGCCGATGGAATTCTTTCAGACAATTCCCAGTGCACCATGCATACCCGGTCCCAGTAAACGCAGATTATGTTCTTTTTTGGGTGCAGTTTCTGCTTGACTCTCGGATTCCGCGGATCTTCTGAAGCCACCCACTCTTTTCTTTGCTTCATATTGACGTACCATTGAGGCACCATTTTGCCGTGACGATTTGGTACAAAAAACACTGTTCATAACCGCGTGTTGCACGATGGCGGGCTAGATGTTGAGCAGCAATTTTCGAATGAATTCGTTAAGATCGTGACGGACTCAAGCTTTTAGATAAAGCCTATTGATTGAAGGTTGCGGAAGGTGTCAAAGCACTGGTGTCTATTGTTAGTCAATTATCGCGATGTTTGGTGACCGTGTTCCATCCAAAGTGCCTTCAGATGTTCTTTTTCGAATTCTGCAGTTCCCCCGTTGCGAAGCGTGTTCTCGAGCTCATGGTAGCTCTTTTTAAACTTTGCAAACCATGCTTGTGCTACGCGTTCAGCTATGATACCTTCTCTATACACGTTGATATGTCCCGAGCGATTTCAGATACTTTTTAACCGCGATTATAAGTGATAAAAAGCCGGTGTCGAAAATGCTGATTTTTGGATAGTTCATTTCGGAGACATAAAAATAATAAAAAATTATATTATCAAAAAAAAACTAAAAACACAGTTTTATAGAGCAAACAGAACTGTATTAAGTGAATATATACACTTTATATGAATTTGTACAAATCGTTGTAAATAAAAATAATAAATAAAACCGAACGAAATTATGTTACAAACTCAATATAAATATACATAAATAAGAAAATAATTGTATTTAATCGTTTTAATTGTATGTAAGGTGTCGTCTAATTTTTTAGGCAATATTACAGGTCAATTGGTTAAAATTGAAAAAAACCTGAACTAACATACGAGTATAATACAAGTATGTGACTTTTGTTTTTTGTTTGACACAAAATCAAACATCCATAATAACATTATTTACTAACGGAGAATTATGGGCCTATGTCCTTCTCCATTCCGAAAACTACTTATGTACCAAGTAATACGTAGCATTTGTAATAATGAAGTCGCCCCTGCTTCATCCTACTGCTTTTGTAATTGCAATTATGAAAGACTTCTCAATTTTATTTATTAAAAAAGTTTTCTTTCTTCTTATAAAAACTAGGTTTTACTATTTATAATACTAGAAGAAATGATAATTATAAGTTAAACCATGAAAGCCTAACAATTGTTAAAAGTAAACTTACTTTTGGGGTTTATAATCATTGTTGGCATAAATTTTGCGTAACCGAAATTCAAATAACTAAAATTTTATATATTATGTACTTTTCATTTTCGTATTTCATGTCCTTATAAGAAATATATTTTTACATAGAATAATATAATAAGTTACATACCTTTGACTCATAACCAGTAAGGAACTTCATTTCACGTGATTTCCGCAAGATGGCGTCACGATCGCCGTCAGATGCTGCTTTGATGATCTCAATGTATTGATCCATGAACTCTTTTGAATATTCTCGTGTGGCGCCAAAATCAAGAAGGATTACCTAAATTTAAATTTATACTAAATCTTTGTATAACTCCCAATAAAAAAATATGCGTTTGTTTAAACATATTTGAGATAACCTTCAGCTCATCGGTGAAGATTACCTCAAACTTGTTTTAAATAGGTTCGCCTTACCTGTTTGCTATTAGTATTATAAAAGAAATTCGCCCAGTTAGGATCAGTCTGCATGCACCGCAGCACAAACATCTCTCGAAGGCAAAGTTTCATAATTTTGGAAGAAATGTCCACTCGAGTCTCCATTGGCGCATCGAACAACTTGTCCAGTGGCATACCGTCAATCAGTTCCGTTGTGATCACTTCAGCAGCGCAGAGGTTGTCTATAAATAACGTAACAAAAATGAATTATTGCGCATTGTAAATGTATGATTAATTTATTAATGTAAAATTGTTTTACACAGAAGCTGCCTTTTTGCTAAAATCTATTTCATCATGTAATAGTAAGACAACTAACGATGTATGTAAACTTATATATATATAGAAATAAACGTACTTCACTCTTTATTCTTTATTTTTATTTTTTAATAACATTACATAGTATTTTAGCTCAGCGAAACCTGAATTTGATGTTGTTATAATTACAATAACAGAATAAGTTTCATGGTTAAAGGCTCTTTATGGCAATTCTATATAAATATTTAATGAAAGTAAAATCCATTAAAAAGTTACCAATGACATCCGGAACAAAGTATTCAGGGTATGGTGCTAAAAGCCGTTTGAACTTCCTCGTGCATTCAGCTTCGCGAATGTAGTCCACCTCCCATGCTAATTCTTTCTTTGCAACCTCTACTATGTTATCAATGAACATGCCTTTAGGAAATATATTCCATACCTAAAAAATAACAATAATAGAGTTGTTTGACATGAGTTTCTTATAAGATTTCACAATATTAAACTACTACATAAATATAAGCCAAATAGAGAAAGCATGCAATATGATCGCAAAATTACTAATAATATATAATTTTTTTTACAATAAACACATCTCATGTCGCTTACCTTCATGACTCCAACTAGATTGTCAATGTCACTGTTGATTCCCATCGCTACACCTGGATACTGTACTTTTATAGCCACTTCTTGCCCATTATGTAATACAGCTAGATGCACTTGACCTGGTTACACACACAAGTAAATAAAGATTTCAATGTCTTACAGCATATATTTGGACAAATTTACAGAAAAATATATAAATAAATACCTATACTGGCAGCAGCAAAGGGTTTGTCCTCAAAATGCATGACCTTGCTCCTCCAGTCACTTCCTAATTGTGAAGCCATGACTTTTTCTACCTGCCATGACGGCATGAAGTCTGCAGATTGACGAACCCGCTCAAATATACGCTGTAGCTCTGGGGACATCATTGTGTCATCTTGGATACTGAGGAGTTGCCCTAACTTTAATGCAGCACCTGAAGCAAAATATAGTACAGTCAGTCACACCGGCGCGGAGTATGGACGTGTCATATCGGTGGGCGAATGGATATGTAGTGATGCAATAGAATGGTAAAAAACAATGCCAAAATCAATAGTCTAATTGAAATGGAGTTCCTAGATCCCTAAGTTATTTTTTTATACTTGGAGTAAATCCTCTGGAGTACTGCAAGTCCTAAATCCTGCCTCGCCTATTTCACATGGAAAGCAGCTTGCTATAAACTGCAAATTGTGTTTCAGTTGGAGAGTGAGATATGGTAACAAATGCAGAGTTCAGAGGCACATCTTAGAGAGAATATGATCTCCATGGTACAGTTCACATATGTAGATGACTCCTGCTAATTGCCATCAGGTACGCCATTAGTATATTGGCTATTTATCCTCATTTTAAATATTCGGTTTAAAAAGTTAGTCAATAAAATATAAACAAACCTCTAACTTTGCACAGAGTATCAACAATCCGTTCAGCATTAGCAGGTGACAAGAAAGCGTTAGCGGAATCCTCCACCCGTCCGGTAACTGACTGAAAAGTGTTTCTCGCATACTGTGCTACTGTGCCCACTCCAAGTCCAGCAGCCAGAGAACCAAATGATATCATGCGACCAATACGTGAAGATGGCACAACACGGGCTTTCGAGTTCTCACTCAACTGTAATCAATTCAACATCATACATAAACTACCTTTCTGTGATTTCATTCTAACTGTTTTGTTTCTAAGTCAATTGGAGTAAAAAACACCAAATTTTTAAATTTAAATAATTTATTCAGATGGAATCTGTTGGCTTCTTATGCACATCACATTTTTTTATGTTTATCCCTATAATCTAATTCAGCTAGCTACTTTACTTAAGAAGAACAAGCCAGAAACCCAACTTATGTTAAGATTATTACAATACAATAGTGAAAACGGAGGGGGGAAAAGCGGGATTGTTAGTAATGTAGACTGATAATCTTATTGCTAGCAATGGTACATTGTCAAGTATACCTTCATGCAGTACCCCTGCAAACCATTGTGATAAATTCTTTGCGAATTTGTCGCAGCCTACGTGAAATCATCAAAACAGCAGCAAAGCTTTTCTAACATTTGAGCGCACAGGTAGACATACACTATATCTATATGTATAAATTATTATAAAGGCAACTACCAAATTGATTTATTAAATGAATAGAAGGAGACGTAACCATCAGCTAAAAAAACAGTTTGTGAGTAAACTAGTGAATATTAATAAGTAGGTACTTACAGAAACTCTTATTTTCTTTTTAGCTATTGGCTTAGGAACTGCTGATGTAGATATAGCTGCTCCAGAAGTACTTGTAGCCGCTATGTTTGATATTGATGGTGCATGAGGTTGTGATTCTAAAATGTCCCTTTCTGTCCTTAATTTGACTTTTTCAAGTGGACTTATAATCTGTTGATCAGCTGCGGTAGAATTCATTTTGATATCTTCAACTTTATTTAAGGTCTCAAATGTTTTATTAAACTCTCTATTTAGCTCTTCAATCTCGTCTCTCAATTGGGCATCCATATCAGCTCTCTTTTCTAAATCAGACTCAACATTAGGCACATGCATAGTGGCATACTGCCTAAAGCCATGTGCAACAACCAAAGCACGTTCCAAATATTCTTTTAGAGTGTCAGGAGTTGGTTTGTAAGCTGTGAGTGTGTTAGTTGGGCATGTTTGTATGAGAGTTTTTAGGGTAGAGTTATTCCAGATTAATTTAGAATTCTCTTGCTGGACCTTAAGGCCTGCCTCCACCACAAGCCGCAGACCTCTCCATACACCTATCAAGTCATTAATGTGTGACATACCCTGCAATATATTAGTGTGGTTATTTACATATTATATAGTTATAGTAATAAAAATACAATAATTAAATTAATTTGTTGGCATATGTTTCCAATAATACAAAATCCATATTACGGCAAGCCCTTATTTATTGATTACAGTAAAGTAATTAATAATTTTAATCATTGTCAAAGCTACAGAATATGGTTTATGGTGAGATTATAGTGTTTACAGTTTATGGTGACACCTGATCACATACATGTTATTTAGTACAGTATAGAATAGTTTATATTCTAATAAATTCACTATAATATAAGCACTTTTCAGATGCAGATTTATCAATAAGTATAGGCAAGGTTCTCTGTTGATCATTAATATTGACCGACTTTATCCAATATACACAAGTGCTAATTTATTCATTTAGAATTTACTTCATCACATTTACTAAAGCAGAGGATAGTTAGAGACACTCTCTACTCTCTACTTGTACAGAATAGTACAAGTTCTGTAGAAAGCATTTTGGTCAATTTGCTATGAATTTGCTTGGGATGACCAATTTTAAATTTGGAACCAAAACAAATATTATTGGTCTAAAATAAAATGTATGTAGATAATTTTATTACAAATGCATCTATTACACTACTAAACTCAAACTGCCATATTCAAATATACCAGGGATTTTAGGGAGTTCCATAACCAAAACAATCGGATATCCAATATAAAAAAATATTTGGCACCTCAACCTAATCCTAAATAAAAGTTTCAGATAATATCGGAAAGGGACGGAGCAAATTGAGACAGATTGTAATTCTTACCAATGAAAAATATATTATTGTCCATTTGTATTTTATATTAAAAAATTAATAACCATAACCAAAATTATCCGAAACTAACGGATGATCAGAAATAATTTCATATATGTATTCATATCCAGTATAACAATCATTCTTATATCCGAAACCTATTCACATCAATAAAATATTCTTAACTATACCTTTGCCCTATGGTTTTTCTTTTTTTTTGATGATCATGTAAATGTATAATAATATTATTATTGGTTGTTTATATTATGCATATATTATTTTTGTAGTAATATGTGATATATGAGGAACACCTCTTCTAGCATTCTATTTACAAATTATTAAGTTATTCTATGACTCAATAAGCGCAGGTAAGTCTGTCTGGTGAGTGTACAAGGTTATTTTGTAGAGTTATTGCATAACATAACGGAACTACTGCTTTATAGATTAAAATTAATAACAAACGCTAGTTATAATAAGTAATTACTATATTAAACTCTATATGCATTATATTTATTATATGTTAATAACTATTAGAATTAATAGATAAGAGTATAAGAAAAACAACTTTATAAAAACATGTGTTACGATTTATTTAGAAAGCTAAAAATATAAAATTACTTACTAGTGAATATGTTTAGTAAAGAAATATTTGCTTTATTTTATAAAATTATATATTTATTTATTACGGAAGGATTATAATAAATTTATACCTTTTATAATAAAAATTGTAAAATTTAGTTTCGACTTCTCTGACATAAGCACAGATCAAATGGACTCTTATATGTCATTTTAAATGTCAATCCATTTTCAGTCTGTCATTATGATATCAATACTATGTCACTAAGGTCTCAATCCAAATTTGAATTTGAACATTTTGAGAAGTGCACGAAGCGCATGCATTATTTAATCGATTGTAATTATCAAGAGAATAACCTCTAGATATTGTATAACCTACAGTATACAGATAACATCTCTACTGGAACAGTCTTATAAAAATAACAATACGATTGATACTTGTACTACCAATTAATGCTACTGTTGTAAAATATTAAAACTATTTTAAAAACACATTTGTTATAAAATTATAGTCATTTTTATTACTAAACTATTAGCACACGATATTAATAATAAAACGATTTCTATAGTTCTGTGATGAAATATTTATTCATGTTTATATTCTTAACACTAAACATTTGAATAATTAAAAATCCATAGCCAAAATAAGTTAAATGCTATATTATATTTCATAAAATATACTGGATTTAGACATACACATAAAATTGCTTATACCCAATGACACCAAAACATGGAAATGTGCCAATCACAAATATATTATGACTATCATTTCCGGAACATATAATGTAACTTAGGTCTACACATGCAGGAATAAATGAATTCATTATTTCTATAATAAATAAATTAACAATTTTTAGAACATATTTTTTGTAATAAATACACAAAAATTTAGTAAAAGTATATGTTGACACATCTAATATAAAAAGTAAAAACAAAAATTTACACATAATAAGAATTTTATAAGAACATTTTAATGTATAGATACAATCATAAATTAACTTTGTGTTAAAAAAGATTACTTTAGAGAGGTATGATCTGTTTGAAGTTCAAAAACATAATTTAAATAGTTAAGAAGTAATTATTTCTAGAAGTAACAAAACTATAACCAATATTACTTAAAATTAATATGTCCAGTTAAAACACTCTTAAAAAACAAGGTTCATTTAAAATGTAAGCATTATAAGTTTCAGAAAATTGTATAATTGAGGATTAATTAATATTTCTATGTGTATCATAAAATTTCATGCAGAGTAAAGTTTATAATTATTTATTATAATAAAAGTATAGTATTATGACATGTATTAAATAAGGAAGCAAGAGTACATTTATTAAATAAATTTCTAGATGACATTTTTAGGCAATCCAGCCAATATTCTCAGTTTGTTGAATATATATCCGACATCAGTGACAAATATCATAATTTAAAAAAGTTGTCATATACATTATCCATTCACCCGTTTTTTATTCTTACCCAATAACTACCAAATTAAAAATACACTAACCGTAAAGTTTTCCAATTGTATATAATATTGGAGACCAATAAAGAATACAATAATATAGCTATCTTAAAAGGTATGCACAGAGCAAAATAAATAAAATAAGGAATATGGTTTAAAAATGTAAATGCAAATAACATGTAATTAAGTAAATGCATAATAGTAATAAAGACATAATGAGCATAAAACTACACTTTATGTAGTTCTTTTCAAATTAAGAATTACTAATAAACATTACATTATTATAAATGTAAACAATCAATGATTTATGTTTCAAATAGACATACACACAGATTTATTTAATAGATTTTGTTGGCACACCTAATTAAAATAATAATAATATTTTCAATTGAAAATTGATAGTAAAAACTCCAAGTTTGTGTATAAAAAATATAGAAGGCAGTATTTTATATTTTTTTATACACGTACTTTTTTATATGTAAATATCGCTAACATTGACTTAGAAATTACAATCGCTGATTTTATTGCTCTATTCCAGAGTGATATGTAATATTGACTTAAAAAGTAAAAAATTCACACTCTGCCGTCCAGTCGAGCCCAGTAGATCAAAATCACCGAAAGCACATGCAATAAATAAACGCTCAATAATGTAAGCCAAGGATTAACACTTTTTATGTCACTAAAAATTTGGTGCAATCAATTACAAAGCTCGAACACGAGGCTGATAACACAGCCAATCTACAAATTAGACCTTATACTAGCTCTATTTATAGTGTTCATGATGTCTTCGAAGTGTTCCACCGATAAAGGAATGCAGTGAGTGGAACAAAAGTCTCGTGTGTACTTTGAAATCTGTCAACGAGAAATTTTACTGTATTATATCAGCATCAGTAAAGTTTATACTATATTTATTTTCAAAGTTAAAACTATTATGATGTAAGTGACTCCCACACAGCATTTATACTGTAGCATAACCAACCATGTTATACCGCTGATTTTCAATGTATCTACCAAACATACACAATGTACGAACCGATAGCTAGAGAAAATAGAAACATCATAATTAAACCATTTTATAAATAGATACGACAATTACTGTATAAATACATGCTCTTTATTTTATATTGAGTTGCCACCTACAGTGATTTCTGTTTTTTAAGAAGGTGAATTAGGAAGAACCAACTGCACTGAATTCAAGGTCGGAGAAGGGCATATAACAAACAGAAACAAGACTGACTTTCGTTACGACTGGAAAATAAGTTTATATTTAATTATTTTTTTTGCATATTTTGCACTGTTTCTCAAATTTTAATCAATTCACTTGATTTATAATGGTGTACCATGTGGCCGGAATAGTTCGGAAAAACAAAACCTAGCTCAGGCATTGTATACTTTATGTATCAGGGTTTTAGTACCAACTAATCTACATGGTCCATAAACAGCGTCAGGGTCAAATTTGGATAATATAAAAGAATCGCAGTGTCGTATGCATGTCTTCACAAAAAAGTCTAAGTACGTAGGTACATTTACTATATAGCATTATTAATCTATAAAAACAATTACGGTCTATCTCCAATATAGGATTTACAAAACGAATTGTTCCTTCGAAAATTACACTTACATTACGAGCATCATTACATTATCACGTGACTCCAACATGAAGACTAAGATGTCATGTCTTTTATTCTGTAATTTCACTGCCTAATAGCTCTTTATATCCGAAGTATATAAAGCAATCGGACAGTAAAATAGATGAGACTACGGTACCCGTATAGAAGTCTTTTTAGAGACAAATAATTTGAATGTACGTTCACGACATTGCATAATACTTTAGATTACACAATACTTCCGCCTGTATGTCGTGTAATTGGCCATTATTCTCCTTTGGAACAAATTGAAATTGACAGTTTTAGTAATATGCATTGCAGCTGAAACAAATCTGTTTTGTAATTCAGATCGTCGAATCCATATATTTATATTATAAATACAGATGATGAGAGATGCACATCTCTGTCTGTTTGGTACCTTTTCACGACTGAACGAATATCAATCTTTTGTCCAATACGGCCATAGGCTTATCTTTATTTATAAGAATGCAAACGAAGTCGCGGTTATTATCTATTAGTACTAAATAATATCTAAATAGTATACAGTATAGCAAATAGTATTTTTGGTGATGGTGGCATGACACTTACCAACATCAACGCCCTCCTGTCGTATTCAGAAAGCTCACTAGAGTCAACAGTTGGGCGTTTCTCTTCTAAACATTGAACATGCTTCAGGAGTGCTTTCTTCCAGGCTTCTGGCTTTATGTCGTCATTGATGGGATGCCGATGTTCGATAAGACTCATCACCAACTCGTTGCCCCGATTAGTCGATGCTATGCCAGGTCTTTTCATAAAAAAAATTAAAAATACATTGTAACTATATTTTATTTCAGTACCCGCTAATTGTTAGTAAGAGACAAGCACAACCTTCCTCACATTATTTTAAATATTATTGTTTTCGAGGTAACGGAGGCGAGTGCTAGTAATAGAATTAGTGATGCCAATGCTAGCAATGTCATCTCAGGTTGAGGTCCTCTCAGTCCACCCTGGAATCCATCATTATTTCTAGTCGTCTTAGAGTTTTAATGTGTAATGGAACTAATGAAAATATTAGTTGTTTTTGTATATACATTAAGTAGATGTGTCACGATTAGGGCTTGAATTTTACCATTCTGCTTAAAGCCCCTCGTGTTGGAACTTGTAACGTCAATGTTAGGTTTTTAATATTATGACGTCAATCGTCACTGTATTTACTGAATTACACTTTGACTAATGTCTACCGATTCTTGTTATTTGTCTTATAATATTATTATCCAATAATGCTATCATCTGCCATTGGTATCTCGCCAATATTAACTGAGATATATGAAACTAAAACTATTTTATAATTATTATTTTTATACTTGTTAGTTACTGCGTTTCAACGGTTTAATTTGATATAAATTCAAATCAATATCTTCTATCGAATGCAAAAAATATATGAAAGAAAGTTTCTGGCTAATGCGGAAAATGCTTTGCAGGTTTTCCGAAGTGAAGGGTTTCTAAAAAGATAGGAAACCCATTTCAATAACTTTATTTCAATACTGTATTTAGACGCTTCATAAGCCATCTAAATGTCTGTACATGTAAGCTTTCGATGTTCAATGTATAGTAAAATATATAATTAGATTATGAACTTGCTTAATCGTGAATGTGAAGGAATTTGGGTGATACCAAATGGTTTCACTCAACCGTAGATCGCTAGACTTTATCGATCCATCAAAAATATATTCAAGTATTTTAAGTTACGAAGAAATGCAATAACGGGTACACATAAAACACTCGTTAATAATAGCTAAAACACATACCTAAGACAGATGACTTCATCTTCAGTCCGTCTGACCAGCTGCACTGAGCCATTGTACTTTTTCAACATTTCTGCTATATTGAGGTTTACATATGAGCGTATGACTTCCTTAACTAACAGCGACCACGACGAGGGCATTACGTTCTGGGCTAGAGGTAAAAGGTCGTCGAATATTGCGTCTAGTATCTGGAAGAATACATTTTTTGTTTAAAATTAGAATATCCCGTTATTTTTAATCTGTATCAGGTTATATAATATAGTTTTCCATGAAAGCCTATAGTTGAAATTGAAGTAAATTGTTAGAATGACGTCCAAAAAGCATGTGTTAAAAATATTTCTTAATATATTTAGCATACTAAAGTAATGGACAATTTTCATCTTTTTTTGCATAAATATCACAAAAAAAACAGAACTGTCAGAAATAATTACTTACCAATCCTCTTACTGGATAGTTGATAGCAGCCCATGTGGCAGAGTATCCTCCAATACTCCAGCCGAACATGACCACATTCTCAGGTTGGAACTTCAGTTCGTTAATGGCATATTGCAATACTGCATCAATTGCATTCTGCTCTTGAGAGGGATATGGAAGACCCTGTACATAGCAATAATATTATCAATTTAATTTGAAGTGAATATGTAAAGGAATACTTGAATACTTAATAGTATCTCTGTATATTAATTTGATTTTTACTACTGTATTTTATTTTGTAATACAAAACAAATCAAACAAGATGTCAGCTTAGCATATGGTATGCGTTAACTGTAGCCTACATATATGAGCAGCAACATTAGAATGCCCACTTGCATTGCCATTCCAGAAGACTAGGATGCTGCCTCCATACCAACTATAAATCAACACAGAGTATACAAAGGAAGCTGCTTTGCGGCAGAAATAGGTGAGACACAAGGTGACGTTGACGACATTGTTCAAAGTCTATGCCGGCATGATGGCACTATGAATATTTATAGTATATGAAATACTTGCAATTACGTAATTTTAAATGTTAACACTACATATATACTTCATAGTAGATACGGTAATGCTTTTCTTAGTATATAAAATATAAATTGTCATACAGGTTGACATGAAGATCAAAATAACTATAATAACCCAGGACTATTTATATAACAGCATCTAATAGCATGTAGTCCGAAGTCAAGAAGATCTTGTGTAATAGGTACTAGGCAACTGATATAAAAGGAATAAATATATGTTTTGTAAATATGTACAGAAAACAGCTATTATATTTTACAAATAATTATTTTCTATAAATGAGGATACAACTTACTGTACTTCCAGCGAAGCCTGGATGATTCCAACCCATTGCTGAATAACCAGCTTTAATTGGCGTAGCCATGATACCAATCTCATAGAAACCAGAATTCCCTTCACAGCAAATGACCAGGTACTTGCCCTTTACCGATAGTTTACGATGGTCAACAAACATTGTATCAATGTTATTGCCATCTGCTGTCGTCAGTTTTGTGCGCTGCCCATTAAACTCTTCAACTAATTGAGTTCTGCCTTGAAATAGTGGGGTCCCTGTGACATAAAATTAAACAATATTAATGAAGTTCCTACCATGTACAAAGCAGTGACATATTCCAGTATTCTAATATTTTTAGCTATTAGATTTATTTCAGATGAGTCACAATAACAATTCCTTGCTGCTTCTCCTCGCCAACAATATTTTTTTATGATACTTATAAGAGAAGAATAACAACAAAGTGCCAGTAAACAGTTTTATCCTTCAGACCACATTTGAGAGTAATAAAATATAAATAGTGATGTATATATTATAAACCTTACAAACATACTCAAATGTATTTTATTTTCTTAATTCATACAAATAATTTTTATTTAAACATAGAAAATTATCAATATAAATAATAATACTTACAAAATAAATTGGATATTAATCCAAGTGAACCTGGATACACAAGGCGTAATCCGAACGCATGTGTAGCAATGAACGCCAACAACTGTATAGGTACCCGTTGATACAGAGGGAGATCATTATTTGCGGAAGTCAAGAACGGATGTTTCTGCAACCAGGATGGACTAAAACGACATTTAATACTATTTAACACCTTCTGTCACGAAAATTTACTTTATGTGGGATAACCAGTGACTTTTCGACTTGGATAGGTTTACAAATGTACTGATTACCAACGCTGATGGACATGAATTTAGTATTAGGGGTACAAAACTTGGCTTAGGTAGTCAACATTTAGAAACCCGTTTGAATAGGACAGGGAATTGAGGGTTTACCGGACTGACTATTTTTGTTAAATTTAATATAATCTTCAGCTCATTGCATTTGTTCTGCTATTTTATAGTATAACTCTGTCTAAGTTAATTAAGTTTATTCAGTAGCATACCTGACTTTGAATCATAAATATGTAGTAAAATCAATAAAGTGCAACAAAGTAAAAACTCCTAAAAGTTGACAGTAAATACTAAAGGTATTCTAAAAGCTAATTTAATGCATAGTCATAGTAATAATATATACATATTTAAACAGGAACACATACCTCGGTTTTGCAGGTATGTTGTATGTAGATGGCCAAGCATAAAATTCGAAATCAAACTTCCTAATCCCCTCTAAATAGGACTCCTTATCACCGGTTGGATTATTTAATGCTTTCACAAAGTCAACATATTTTTGGTTATAAACTCTGCCCATACCCCTAATCACATAGAACAATGCAAGAAGACATCCAATGCCACCGAAGAAACGGACCAAAGCTATTTTATTCTCATCTATTACAGAAAATCCTCTTTTGTAAATATACATACAAATAAATGGTGATGTATATATTGCAATGTTCACTATTGTATGTGCCTGAAAAATTAATTATATGATAAAAAATAATATTAATTCCAAGAATTACCATGACTTGAATTAGATACAGAATGTTTATTCACTTTAGGTATGAAAAGAACAAATATTATTCTATTAAATGAGACACTTTAATTATGTATCATAACTAATAGGATTCTTTTTACAGAATATCATGCCAGATTCTAATTTCCCTTTTTAATAAAAACTTAACATAATTAAATGTCTATTACATATATTGGTATATGAAACTACATATCCAATCTATTTCAAAATGCAACATATGAAGGTGTGGTCATATGTCCTTCCCATTGATGCTTTTGTATACATATTTATATGTTCTGCTCAGTTACTTTAAAGGCCTGACTAATCACCAACCACAATTACTTTATTGTTTAAAAAGAGAATGAAGTGTATATACATGTATAAATATGCTTATTATATTTAACAAAGGTTTCAGGGATAACAAAGGTTTTACTAAAAATACAGGGAACAACCTAATATGGAGTTTAACTTAAGTAATTTCTGTTAAGTTTCAATTGAGTGAATTCTTACCGAAGTAATAACTCTGTCAGCCAATTTTTCCAGTCGTAGAGGCTGGTACATATTCTAAGAAAAAAAAAAAGCTACAGATATCACAGGAAATGTAACTATTACATATTAATTTATAAATATATTCGTATTTCATAAAATTATTCGTATTTTAATCAATCAAAATGAAATCTACATAAGAACCTATTATTATACCAATATATAATGAGTATAATTCTATATTATAGTGCTCAAATTACATTTATTTAAATAAAAAATTGTTTCAATTTCATAGAAGACATAGCTAAAATAGTTTTCCCTACAGGATTCTACTAAGTGCATGTCAATTATTTTTTTCACTATCCCTACCGTAATAATATTTCTCTACCATAAGAAACATATTTAGTAATAATACCATAAGAAATATATTTGTCGATAATAGTATTTTTCATAACGTACTAAGTTTCTATAAAGTTCATAAATATACATTTTAGTGAGTTAAATGGCCGTCAATCACATCATAGTAATTACTATGATATTCGTAATATATTTATCTAGCGTATAATAAAATTTAAAACTTACATCAGGTGATCCATCCCTATAAATTTTGTATAGCCGTGGAGAAAAAAGGCATTGGAAGAACAACTTCATTCTATTTAATGTTAGAACAGGGACACTGATTAATTTGATATTGTATTAATACTGATCGTCGTGATCGGTTACGGTTTTCTGTTATTGTCTGTATATGTCTGTTCTGGTTTTGATTGTAATGGTCCCAATTACTGAAATAATAACCATAAGACAAAAGATTATTCAAAATTCATTAAAAAAAATAGGTAATGAAGTAGAGTCTGAAGAAACAATATAGAGAGCGCAGAAACTTCTCGTGATGCAATTTGTTTACTGTCAGATTTTCAGAAACTTTAACACTCTGTGACTTCCTTGACAATATCTATAGAAATGTAATATTATTATGGTCGTAGACAGAATCATTACATTTCCTACCAGTTTCGCTTTTCCTTTTAATATTGCTAAAATCTACCAAAAATTCGGTTTCAACGAAAAATACCCATCGAGTAGAATAGCTAATATTAGGATTATTAGCATAACGTTCAACAGTAGCTACTATCCAACATTATATTACTTAATTTATTAGCGTCTAAATGTCGCCTTAATATATTTGTTGTTTTTTGGCCCATTATTGCATTTAGAAGGAATTTTTCAGATTAGGTATCACTGTTTCCGGATTTTGACAGATTGACAGACCAACATACAGTTGTTTGACAGTATCTACCTAATCTCTGTATTTTCAGATCTATAGTTTAATGTGCTGTTTTCCTGTGACGTATCAAGTGCGCTATCCGTAGTTTTCTTCTAAATAGTCTGTGGTGTGATATCTTCATTATTCTTTAGTGCACAATTGCCTGCAGTTGCATTATTCTTTTGTAATTACAACTTGCACACTACACTGAAATATTATATTTTTTTCATAATTATAGTCATGAAATATGATTTATATAGTGAAAAAAGCTACATTAGTCATTCTATTGACGATTGCAACAGTATCATGCAGAATTCACAAACTGCCGCTTACGGTAAGAAATTGCGTTCTACTGCTTAATTGTTAATAAATAATAAGTTTGTCTTTTTATTGTGCTATTCACTTAAACATACTTTGTTTAATGTTTTATATATAATTTTTTGGTACTGCACTAATTTCAATCATATTCTATATTACTTAGTGCTAACATATTGTTAATTTTAATGCATTTTATATTATACTACAGGCTTCTCTGAAAGTATTATATCATTTAGTTATAAATACCGTAATTAATGAAATGAATGAATTTAATTAATTTCCTCAACATTTCAATTTGAGTCACTGAAAAAGATGCAATTAAAATATATTCTTTAGTATGTTTTTTTACCTTTGATATATATTTTTCAATTACACTGTAAGTATGTACAGTGGTATATATCCCTCAATGTTTAAGAGAGCTATCATTCACCCTATCTACAAGGCTGGAGAGTGGCTAATTACCAACCTGGTAATGTTCAACCAATTGCAATTTTACCAGCCCTATCTAAGATCTTTGGGAAGTTGGCTGATAGACTTCCTTGAATAGTAGAAAGTCTTATCAATTGGACAGTACAGTTTCAGATCTGGTAGGTCCGCAGCAGACACAGTCTATGATGTTACTGATCATATCTTATGCTTTAGTTTTAGATATAACTGTATACTTCAATTTTTATACACTCTTGGCTTATTTCATGTAAAAATAGAGTTAGCCAGACCTGACAGTGGTATGTTTTCTCTTGTAAATTCAATGTATAGCGTATGTTAAGACTTTCATAAAATATTTATGAGCATTATTTCAATTCATTTATTACTAAGTAAGTTAGACTTCATTTTCAGCAATCAGCCTAAATCAGTAATTTATTTTATTCCATATATACCATATTATGATCTATTATATTTTTTTACTCACTGTTGCTATTTATGTTTCATTATTTTAGTTTCCTTTATGTGATAGAATTGGCAAACAAGCTGACAGCCTTCCTAATGGTAAATGGTAACTTGCCTATACACATAAACAGTAATGGTGTCACATCCCCATTTAATTCCTATTATTCATTGTCTTTCAGGAGAACTGAGATGCCTCTGTTCCATATAATTCTGTGTAGCAAATACTTTAATTTATTTGAATAATAATTTCATTTTAGTGTTATCAAATTTCATTTTATTTCATTTATTTTGAATTGTTGAAGTGTTTACTATATACTTAGCAATAATTTATTAAATGCTAAGACTAGTATATAAAAATGGGTTCATTCTCTGGAACATTGTAAAGCTTTAATCTGACTTCATAACAATGTGCTCTTTATTATGCAGATGAATGATGGATGGTCTGCCGACCAATCATAATGGTTCCCACCAGACAGTTTTAATGGTGTCCCATTAATACTGTCTGGTGGGGACTGTTATGATTGTAATGATAATGTTGTATTGATAGAGAAGGCATCTTAAATAATGATAGGTGAAATCTTCTCTATGTAATAATATTCATATTCCAATGTAATGTCCTAGGCATTTCGCCTTTCATTTGCCCCTTATGTGCATATCCTAGCTAATTTATAAAAAAAAGTTACTGCACATTTTGGCCATGTTATATTATTTTTATAAACATAATTTAAGACCCCAGGTGGAGGGACCTTTATTACATCCCATCTCGTATCTAGCTGATGACAATGAGGAGACCAATAATTTTGTACTCTAGTTTTAACTAGAGCTCTCAAATCAGCCAATCAGTCTGATTAACTGCAATCAACTCAATCTCTCCTAGTTTGGGGAATCAATGTTACAATATACCACATGCTTTTAAGCATACCTTTATACCTAAGGAATTGACCATCTTCTTTTCTCTTACTTTCTCAACATATGTCACTTTTGTTTTTGGACATTTTGGATGTCCACAATATCAAAGCTGTTGTCACATGAGATAGGCAATTCTAAAATAAATAATAGAATATCTTATTATTTCAAAATAATAAAATATATTGGAATCTATCTCTTATTGGTTATATTCCTGTAAATTGCCATTTGATCTTCTTGACTGTCATAACAATTGTCATATAAGCAATATTAATTCTATCATAGAGGCAACAACAACTTAATTGCAAAAAAGTGATATAACTATTTACTAATATTGTCTATTGTATATATTAACTCCATGATGCCTATTTACATTAATTGACCAGGTCAGATACATACTAAACAAGGACAGACATATTTATGAATGTTGATTAATGTCTTCATCATAGTAAATTGATGCTACAAATGGGTTCTCGTGCATTTAAATCTAAAACAATTAATTTGATTCTTTGCATTTCCTGTATGGAACAGGTAAATAATAGAAGAGTTTTGTAATTATTTTATGTATTTGTACAGATGCAAAGAATGTAATACTGGAGTTGGATAAATAACACTCCAGTTCTTATTTCTTTTAAGGCCTCATTAAATAAGAAGTCATACACTCAATGAACTGCAGACTCTCATTGTCATCTACCAATCAATCCATTTTTGTCAACATACTGATTGTGGATATACAGAGAACAAAAAAAATGTACCTAATACCTCATACTGAAATAAATATAATTCATTGTTTCAATAAAGACATATTTTTTTAAATTGTTTATGCTTAAAAATATAAAATATTACAATATACTGCTTGCGAACACCTTATTATTTAAATCTTATAATAATTTATGTGAATCACGCAAATCTGGATGTCAGCAATCCAGATTGTCTAGGTAATTTTCTTGTGCATTATATATTTTGAATGTAGTTTTGTTCCCATTCATTTATCATTAATTTTATATGTACTAGTGGTACATATTAAATGCAAAGGTTGTATCATTAAGAATTATTAAGAATTTATTAAAAAGAATTCTTTGAATTTAAAATAAATTAATATTTTAAAAGTAACTAGCTGAGCGCAACTTCGCTTGCGTTACATTTCCTCCATTATATGTATATATTGTTGCTTGCGTGCTGTTATATATCCTATATCCTTCCCAAAAAAAGTAATTCAGATAAAGAATTTTACAAAATCGGACGAATATTATCACGACCATCCGAACTTATAATTTTTTCCTTTTTATGTTTCTCTTCTATTATGTGTAATTGCTCATCGTTTAACTAGGTATATTCATAGAGCTTTATACTTCGGCCGCGATTTGAAACTGCAAAAGAAGTAAATGTATTTATATATAGGAGTTCAATTGGTCGTAATCGGTTGATACATACGGGCTTAAACTATTAATATAGTACGCCATATACTATAGTTACTCTAGTATTGTATGAATTAATTTAATAATACAATAATAGATGGCGTTGTATAGATGTCTTATTTATTGTTGTTGATTGAATGTCATCAATAAGGACAGTATATAAGGTAATGTAACGACCATATTTAGTCTTTTTGTATAACTATATTGTACGGAAACTAAAACTACAGTGAATGTTAAAGAAATGTTATGATACAGTATAGTATGTACATAATATTAGAAAACAATATTATTTTCAATATTCCGCTTCACTTATTTCGGAAATTTATTCAGTTTCACGAAGTAGGAGCGATAAAGGCTAAAAAGCCAGTGACAGTATAACTGGCTTTTAGCATTTACCGTTACTTACCATGTATATACATATATATATAATTTAAATAAGTAATGAATTCTTAAAGTGTTTAAATTGTTAATGTTTCAAACTTAATGCAAAGTAGACTAATCTGCCTGCGCTAACGGTTTACGCTGGCGGAGCTCAAGTGTAGGATGATAAAATAAGCATGAGATCAGGTCAGTTTGCCCATCGTGATTAAATAACCAGGAATTAAATTGCTAGCAATGGGCACACTAGTCTCCATTACTAACAATCCCCTTCCCCCCAAAGTCGAGTATTTGAAACTCTTGATATAATACTAGATGGTGTAAGACCTATCTATAGTTTAGAGTTCACGCTGTTTGTACTATTCTCCGGTAGGCATACGCGGAAAGTAGTAACATACCCTTGTATGCATCAACATTGTCATTACAAATTATACGCTCCCGTTCATTGGTAATTGGCACTCCTTATGTGCTTCCGCTCGTTAGGATTGCATTGATATTGACCTTGTTGCATGGCACTGCCTATTATACTATACACACTGCACCAACAAGCATAAATTGCTACTTCCACGTCATATAATAACCTATTAATTTTCCACAGGACGTGGGACTCTTCCCATAAGAGGGGGATGTTAGCCTACTAGTATTATGCTTTTATATCGATGTGGTTTGAATTGTTCTAGTTCTAGTCGTCTCTTACCACGTCCAGGAGTTGATACATGTATTTTAAATGAGAATTAAAAGATGATGAAATGAAATTTGCAATGAGGATATATAGAAAAAATAATTTTACTACCACATCATTATAATAAAAATAATAATATTCTAGGACAATTTACACAGCGCCATCTAGTCCCGAGTTAAGCAGAGCTTATGTTATGGGTCCTAGACTACTGATATGTATATATACATTGATACCTTTTTTTTGTAAATACATACATATTCAGACCGATACAAACACACCGGCCGTCAAATCACTAGATAAATAATATGACAGTGTAGACCTCTCCGGCTTATCTCGTATTTTTTTAGGCCTCAGCATTTTAATACAATGTAAACATTAATCTACTAATATCATTACAACTCATTTACAATTTTAAAATGTGTGAGTTTGAGGCGATGGGGTGTTAGTAATTGAATATATTACTTACAATGGGGCATTCAAGTAATGTAATTTACGTAACACTTAATGTCGACCTTGACGTGGGGCCATCTGAACACTATCGTGGTTAATTTCTGGTGAACTGGCCACATTACACTGGTATCCTGCTAAAAAGAAAGGGTGCTCATTCCATTCACATCCATGAAAAAGATCTTATAACAAGAATTTGTAATGGATTACTTACTAAATTATAATTCCTTTGGTATAGAAACAATTATAAAATACTATCGTGGTTAATTCATATAATACAATAAGATAACTGGTCTGACTTTATCTTCCTGAACTGGTATCCTGCCAGAAAGAAAGCGTGCACATTCCATTCACATTAATAAAAAAGATCTTATAAACAAGGATTCGTAAGGGATTGATTACTAAATAATAATTCCTTTGGTATAGAAACATTTATAGACTACGGTGTTCACTCACCATCAGGCTGAACTCTGTCCATTGCCACAATAACGTATCACCTACTAAATGTAATTGTGTTTACAGGATGATGAACGACATTATGTGGATCTCACTACATTCGGTTTCTTCAGCGGAGGGATTCTGGATGTGCGGATGATCAACTTTAAGCTACCCTCCGGCCCTGTAACTAGCGAGGTAATTGTTTATTTTCTTGTTATTAATTGATATTATTGGCTAATCGGTAAACCTTGTCAGGACCTACACGCGGTTCTCTTTGGAAACCATAGTTATAAATTCCCCGTGAAATCGTCATGATATGTTACCTGGCCTGGCCTTATCCTTATCTAATCATATTTCATTGGTGTCTCGATACCCTTAGTGCAGGCACCATTACAATATCATACACTGAAGAAAGTAAAGAATGATATATATAAATTATGCCTAAGATTGCAACTATGTAACAAGAAATTAAATATTCTTGTTACATAGTTGTTATCGTCGTTTCTATGGTATCGTTATTTATTCATGATAACAAGTTATATTGACCCTTATTTAATGTCATTAAGTGTGCATTACGAATGAACATGTAGTGCAGTATGAATATTGATTCAACCATTTTTTTATAACTCGAGGTAAAACTACCGTGCAACACAAACATTTCGGCAGTTTAACAAGCGAGTTCATTGGAGTGTATACGCCACTGAACTCGCCTGTTCAATTACTGCGGTATTCTGACTCGTCTGATAAAACTACGGGGTCGCCAGGTTGATAGTATTGATAGCTAATTATATTTTACTTTTTTAATTTGTTTCGAAATATTTTCTCCAGCTCGACACAGAGTATACACTCTGTCGACTTGTAAATCCCCTGCCGGCGGTGTTCTTGCTTGTTCCGTTTTGTCGTTAAGTCGAATTGGTAATATCGTCTCGTATCTCGTTTATTAAACAAATTATAATAAGTTGAAAAATTATGTACATTTTAGTTTACTTAATAATTGTATTAGTATTTTCTATATAAATAACGGATTTATTTATATAGTAATTTTGTATGAATTTTAGCATAATGTGCAAAACCTTTAAAAAAATATTTAAACAGACTAGTAGCAGTGAGCAGCTTCTCAAGGTGCTACATAATACATATAACATACATATACATAATACAATAATCTGATTTTTTTTTTATTCAACTGTCTCATTTACAATTTTATTACAGTATGGATTTACACTGGATCGCACACTGAATGATGCTATAAGTCCATATATGGATCCACATCTAGACACATGTTTTCTGAAGGAGATCGAAAAGACCGGTGTCTCGCCACAGCATCCTGCTATTGTCTTATTGAAAATGGATTTCAATAATTTAAGGTATATCATTATTTTAAACATTTTAAGAAATAAGTAAATGGTCAATGTTTGTTAGAAATTATAAATTGTACAAGAAATTATATAAAGTTTACAAACAGTTTCACTGAATCACCAAATAGATTTTTTGTTAAGCTGTAACTTCAAGTGTCTGTTGACGGGTTTAGTCTGTAATCATTATCAAGTTTTTAGAGGTCTAATCAGTAAGATCAATAGATATAATGCTTACATACTAAACTTCTATAGATTCTTAACAGACACGGAACTAACTTTAAATAACTTAAAAAGTTAATAATATATTTAGTGATACAGATTCAGAATACTGAATCGCTTAAATAGATTTTTTCTTAAACTAGTAACTTTTAGACACTATTATACTAGACTATAGTCTATAAGTATTATGTATGTATAATAATTACCAACTAAACAGAATTCAAAGAATCTTCGACATTACAGGAGCATCTCGAGTAGAGGTCGTCCCAATTATCGCTAATGTCTGGGTCGTACATATGAATGAGTATTTGTAATAATATTAATTTGAGCTCTTTCTTTTAGATTAAATATTACTTGTAAAGGCGAGGTGAAAGCCCTAAACCTATATCAAAATAGGTCAATGATACCAACAGACAGAACAAAGAGGCAGTCGCAGTTTATGTTCGTAAATAGGAAAAAGAGACAAGTAGAAGGTGAGATAATTTTCTGTGATCGGAACTCTGTAATAACTATTCTGCATTTTCAGTGTCAGCAAAGAAAAATTTATAGCCTAAGTGTTATTCTGATGATTAAGCTATATTATTGTAAAGTTTCATTCCCATCAATTCAGTAGTGAACGTGAACGAGTAGCAAATATCTATACGTCTATCCTTTAAAACTCACAAACTTACGCGTTTATAATATTCGTAAGATTTAGTGTAAATTAATTTATGGATTGTAAATTTTCCATAATGATGTATTTATTATCAACAAATTAATTGCACGGATGGAATAGAACGAGATAGCATATGCGATGTCTCGGTCTCTAATTAATTACAAGAAATTATGCATGAAGCATAATTTCTTGTAATTAATTCCTTCGCTACTTATATACAGACAGACTGTATTATGTACTGTATTATGTATGCTCATTGATGATAGCTTTTTATGCCATTTTTCAGATGATAGTAATGAAATGTTCGGAACCCAGTGTTCACATACGCTGCTGCCTATTACCAAAGAAAGTCGGGGTGGATTTGATTATTACAATACAAGTGTAAGTATGAAATATTATATTTAATGCAGAAATTATTATGATGCGGAAGTACCTATATTTATATTTATTTACATAGTTTATTTTGTTACGTTTCCATTTGAATGGTTGACATTGTAATGTTGGAGTTAAGTGGTCAAGTACTTTAGTATATTGCTGGAAATAGACTGCTATCACGTAACATGTATATACTGCCATCTACTTGTCAATTAGCTATAAAATATATAATGTATATCTACCGTACCTACCTATCATTTTGTTTTCCTTAGTGTCTTATATACATATATGCTTTTACTAAATTTATATTAATTTCTACATTAAATTAAAAGTACATACACATTATGATAGTGATTTTCATCTACTTATTATTTTTTGGAATTTTATACTGTCAATGTGTAGTGTAAGTTCATTATATACAAAAATTTGGTTTTGTGACAATTGATCTATAGAACCGCTGTTGCTGTTACAGTCACAGTTTGCTCTGTTAGTTATAAATGATGAATGGACTATCGCAGTACCTTAATAAAAACATATTTAGATGCATTAAACAGTTTTTTGGTTTAGTTTTTATATTTTAGTGCTACAAAGACATGAAATTCCTTTATTAACGTAAAATTTATACATTGCCGCATGCACAGTTCGCGATGTATGTGGCTTCGAACAAGGAGGAAGGATTATACAACCTTTATTTCCACAACTGTCCTCGCTATGTTAATCCACCGCTTATGAATATGATGGTAAGTGATCACGGTACTCACTATAAACACTTAGAAATACTTCAACACCATTTGTGTTGTATTGAAATGATATTTTCTATGTCTATTCTCATATTATTTAAGATCACAGTACGCCTGTTTCGTTCCTACCGACTAAAAATTACAGGAAATTAGGCAAACGAAAGTATTTTATAAAATCCATGCAGTAAAGTTACAATAGCAGACACCATAGTACATAGAAATGACAAAGTAAGATATGTGGAAGGAATATTATTCTTAGCAGTGTTTACAACAGTTGGCATTTTCCAACAGGTGGATGATGATTTTTATTCGAAAAAAATATAAAATATGGTAAGTAGCTTGTAGGTAGTGCTAAACAAAAGACGTAAATAAATAAAGCAGTTTGCTTTGTTAGTTTTGTTTTACTTGGAAAGTGAGACAAGGTAGTAAAATTACAAAGTACTGAGATATATATTCGTTCGTTCGTCGTTCATGTATATAGCTAGTTATGTAAATACAGCATGTTTTGTATTCCAATTACACAAAAAAAAATGTGCAAAAACTTGCTTTGTTAGCTGTTAAAAGGTCTCACCTTTGGATGGTAGTAAAATTATCCAATAAAGAGTGGTAGCGCAGGAATACTACATACGTTTGTGATGCCGTGTATATACAGCACGTTTCCCATTTCAGTTACACAAAAAAATGCAATAACTTGCTTTGTTAGCTGTCAAAACTTGAGATATGATAGTAAAATTAAAACAAAGTATTGGGACATGATATCTTATTCAATAATAATGGCAGCTCATGGGTACCTCACGCGTTTGTGATGCCGTTCATGTATATACAGTATGTTCGCCATTTTAGTTACAAAAAAAAAACAGTCTGTACAATAAAGTGTAATAATATTTCAGATAGAAATTTACGAGAGCAATTACAGAGACAATTATCTATCAGCCGGTGAGATGCCACTGCCTACTCTGTACAGTGTGATGTCAATGATATTCTTCCTAAGCGCTATCTTTTGGACGTACCTATTGAAGACCAGTCGCCACTCTGTGTACAGAATACATATTATCATGTGTGTGCTTGTGTACTTGAAAGCTTTATCGCTGGCGTTCCACGGGATAAACTATCATTTTATACAAACTAGAGGAGAACATGTGACGGCTTGGGCCATACTCTATTACATCACGCATTTGTAAGTTCAATGTTAATGGTATTGAAAATTCAATTTTATTTATTCATATATGTAGGTTCGAATTTTTACTGGAGCATGTTTGGACTGTATAATGGCGTATGAAATAAACATTGACGGAGACTTTAAATTTATATATTCCTTTTAACTTTGTCACGAATGTTTTTGCAACTATCTATTATTTATTTATTTTTTATAACTATCTGTAATGTATACCATGTTCGTAATATGTTGAAAATAAAATAAAATAAATAATTTTATTAATGTAACTTTTAGAGTCATAAATGTGGTTATTTATAAAATTTAAATTTTTTTGTATAAACATTACAAATAGATAACTTTTTCGGCTAAACCGCTCAATGGATTCTGATGAAATTTAACGTAAAGGTAGATTGTCTATCATTACGTTAATCATAGTACCCGTATGACATATTTTATCTCAAACTAAAAACAAACGTACTTGTAATTAATAGTTATTGTATAAAAACTTATTAATTATAACATTTCTTAAATTAATTTTAGGCTGAAAGGAGCAGTACTATTTGTCACGATTGTCCTTGTCGGCACCGGGTGGAACTTCATAAAACATATTCTCGCAGATAGAGACAAGAAGCTTTTTATGATTGTCATACCATTACAGGTAACATTGTTAATACAGAAGTCCTTTCAACTGTCATGTACTTTTTTATACCACAGTGGTTAATTAAGCATAAGGACCATCATCAGCAAATGCTAGCTTCTCTTGAGGGACTTATTACATCCTTCTTGAGACACCCCATGCTTTATTTTCTAAATAAACTTTAGAATTCCTCAATCTGAGTTTGGACTGAAACTCATCTGGTACCGCATTGTCCTTTTCGTGAACGATGGATTATTAGGCAGTCAGACTATTTTTTACTGTTTGAAAACAAACTAATATTTTTTATATTCTAATTGTATAATCGATAATTATGAAGAGATGGTAATATGAAAATAAGGTTTTGCTTTATTTTCTAAACAAACAATATAATCTATATTTCTTCCCATTGGAAGACATATACAATATGTATTTTTTGCATTCTAGAGGTTCGATACTATTTAAAAATGTGAAATTAAATACATAAAAATTGCCTCCGCCGCTATAAAATCGGAGGTCTAGCAGTTTAGAATACCGCTTTACTTCCTATGGTTGGGGGTTCGATTCCTCGCACTGTATAAACATTTGTATTCATGAGTATTATTGTTTGTATAGGTCTGGGTCTTTCTTTAATTATTAATTTACTATGTATTTATTTACAACATAAATATACCTCAGTATTATCAGTTTATATCAGTTGTCTAGTACCCATAACGCAAGCTTTGCATAGCTTGGGACCAGATGGCGCTGTGTAAATTGTTCAGGGTCATTATTATTAAGAAATAGAGATACATAGAGATTCTGAGTGCAAAATTTTTCCATAGCACTAATACAACCACAAAGTTTTGTCTCCATATTAAAAATGTGTATGATAATGTTTCATAAATAATACATAAATATTTTTATCCGTTTCAGCCGAGGTCATAGTCGTGGCAACAAAATGTAGCAGACTGTATAATCGTACAATCAATTATCTTTGAAGGCTACATCTCGTTGATCCGCAATTTTTGCTCCACAATATCATTATTTATTTATTATATTGTATTGACTATTGGTTCAAGTAAAATTTGTCTTCATTGTTTACATTTGAAAGAAAGAAGAAAAGAAGGGGTTTTGGAATCAGGCATTAGAATTATTACATTTATGAATCAATTTCAATTTAGTGATGTGATTCATTTTAATATCTATGATATTTATTTTTTCAAAGATGATTATTTCTGCCTCCTATTGACTTAGACACCTATATAAGTATACAATTGAATAAACTGGCTTTTTAAAAAAAGGAATTCAGCTGAGTTTGTAATCAGTTTTGAATTGGATTTGTGTACTGAACTGGAAGCTACAGAAAGAAATATTAATACAAAGAACTTCATAAGCGGCTACAATGTCCTATATGAATAAATGATTATTGGTTTGATTTGACTTGGTTGATTTTAATATTTGTAACTTTATGTTTTGTAGGTGGTTGCAAATGTTGCCGAGATAATAATAGCGGAGAGTGAAGAGGGCGCATTGGAGCACAACGCATGGCGCGATATATTCATATTAGTCGATCTACTCTGTTGCGGTGCCATTATGTTCCCAGTTGTCTGGTTAGTGTATTATACTTTATTTCCAAAGCCTTAAGATTCTTATAATAGTGTTAAAATTTTATGTAACCATTCTTACAATAAGTATGTCTATCTTCAAGCCTTATGGGGTAGATAGAGACAACTAAGTGTAACTAAATGTGATGTATAAGGAATTGAGCTTCTTTTTATACATGTTAGTTTGTTACACCTTAGTTTCTTAACTTTTCTGAAACAAAAGTTATTCATGCTTATTTCCAATAACGTTAATAATATTTTAAATGCAGGTCCATACGTCATCTACAAGACGCATCAAGCACTGACGGCAAGGCGGCCATCAATTTACGCAAATTGAAACTTTTCAGACATTTTTACATAATGGTCTTGTGTTATATATACTTCACCAGGATAATTGTTTATTTGTTAAAGGTTGGTTTACTATACTCACTATGTTGTTACAATTAGCAGGAGTTGGCCTTTAGCTGCTCAATGTCAATCTAAAGTCTTTCAGTAGGTTTGAAGTACTAGTAACTAGCTACCATAACACGTAGGTAGCTCTTTTATATACAGCAAAGCAATATTATGTTTGTTAATATTATTATGGTGTTGTTTACAGACGACAGTTCCATTCCAATATTCGTGGATTGACGAGATGTTCCGCGAGATGGCGACCTTCCTTTTCTTCGCTATGACTGGCTACAAGTTCAGGCCTGCTGCTGCCAATCCATACTTCACACCAAACAACATCGACGAGGTGGAGCCACAAGTGTTAGTATCCGTTTAAATATTCTTAGTTTATGTACAAAATGGTTCTAGGTTTGATTACTCTCCGAACCGACGTTTATATTCATGAGTATGATGGTTGATACTGCTCTGGTTGATTTTAATGTATATTATGTATGTATTTAAGTATGTCTGTCAATGATCTAGTATCCGTAACACAATCTCTGCTTAGTTTGGTACCACATGACGCTGTGTAATTTACAGGGTTCTAGGGTTATAATTATCATTATAAATAGAATTTTTAGGAATACTGTCTTTTGTTACATATTGAAAAGAATCTATGTCTCCTACAGATTAACGGATATCGCAGTATTGGAAGGCGTCACAAGGATATCCAACAGAAGTGAGAAGAAACGCGAAGACATGCAACCACTGATGCAAGAGACTAACTATATTTCAGACTAGTTAATATTTTAGGAAATTATTATCTAGGTTTTTTTTAAATACTAACATTAGTGTTCGAATCCAGTATAGCAATACTTTAGATTTAAGTATAGTGAAGTGCAAGGTTCTTATTGCTGTTACGCCAGCTAATGAAAACAATGATAATTATAATTTTTATTTACTGAGCATAATAAGTATTGAATGTTATGAAGAACTGTACAAAAATATGTGAAAAAATAGAAAAAGTCTCCAGCTGTAAGCTGAAAACGAGTTACAAATACCTTTAGAATGGCGCCGGTGTAACCAATGATTTTAGCGATTTATGGTGTGAAATGCGCTGACTTAAAATTATCTATCTACTACATTGTTATTTTAATAATGTACAATACATTGGAGTGCACACTTCCTAGTAATGAACAATAGACCAATAGGAAATTAATAGCAGAAGTATTCTTAAAATACTTGAAACTTGCTCCTTATGTAATAAAGAGTATAGAAGTGACCATATTTGGAAAGATGTTGAACTATTTTACTTATTTTTTTGACTGAAAACTAACAAATTATCTATTTTAATATTTTTCCTAATAATTATGTAATTTTCGGAAAAATGAAACTTAAAATTCTTATGGTGTTTTCGAATAATTTATACTACTTACTATATCGAATTGCTGTCTATAGCATGAATCATATGCTGACTGTTGCTGTTGAATGATTAAATTGCAAACTCCGGAAGGAATGTCTTATTAACGGATTTAATGATAATTAACTGAATATTCATTAGCGGCAATTTTTGGAACTTCTCTCGGCCGTTAATCGGTGTATTTAAAGGCAAACAATACGAACCTTGTATACATAAGTAGTTTATTCTGTTGACCACATTGAATTTGTGATTAATTGTTAAGGTGATTAGCAAATTAACTTTTACTATAAAAATTATAGAACATTAAGTTTAACAATATATGTATTTATAGCGGCGCATACTTTCGACGCATGCCAAGGTATTGTGAAGGGCCACTTATAAGCAATATAGTTATATAATAATCTATAATATATTGTTATAGCATTGATATATTATATACTAACACGTCAGAGAAAACAATGCTTCTATCCATACATACCTTGTGTCTTATATAAAAAAGTACCTTAGATTTTACTTCCTTCAATTGTTATACAGTCAACCCTCCTATAACGCGGTGAGTGCGTACCGCGTTGTATGGAAACCGCGCTATAAGAAACTCGGATTTAACCATACAAACCAGGCTAATTCGTAGCGCGTTCTATGGAAACCGTCTACCGCGTTGTATGGAAACCGCGCTATAAGAGACTCGGAATAAGTACAAATCACATCATTCGTACCGCGTTATATGGAGACCAATAAATACAAAAGACAAGATAAATTATAAATTATTTTTATTGAATTGAAGAGTATGAACTCTTCAATTCAATAAAAATAAGGAAATGATGAAAAAAATGAAACAAAAACTAAACTAAAAAACTGTTTTCCAACAAAAACAAAAGAAAGACTTTTGTAAAATGATGTAATCTTTCAACACTCATCCTCACTGTCAGATATGAGTCGCCTAACTCGCCTTCTTTTAATGGGCAAAATATCTTCCTCACTTGGTTGATCTTCACATTGGTTTTAAGCGGCTAAGACATAAGCAGAACGTAGTTTTTCTATAGGTCACGCGACAATGTAGTCAAAAGATCACATATATATCTTTCATGTTACAGTTTCGTTAGACACACACAAGCATGGCACGCTGTCGATGCGAAACTATTTAGTTAATAGAAGTGGAAGATAGCGCATGAGGAGAACCACCCACCCGTGAACCACGCTGATATAAACATATCCAGTTAAAACCATTCATTGGGTGCACGGAAAGAACTGATGGGACGTTGTTGAACGGAAACCGCGCTGTAAGAGTACCGCGTTATAGGAGGGCTGTCGCAATTTCAGCTCCGCGTTATATGGAAACCGCGTTCTGAGAGTACCGCGTTATAGGAGGGTTGACTGTAACTGTATAGTATTTATACTATTACATCACAATATTGTAGGTATGTATCGTATTTTTACCTATAATATAAATTATCATTATAACAGCGAACGTTTTCTGCTACGTTAGTAAATAATACCTCAATTTACGTATAAATTAAAATTTATGATCACTGAATGTTGTAATTTTGAAATTTTTGAAAATCATTCTTCAATTAATATATACCTGACAGGGTACATTACTTACAAAGGGTCATACGGCACCCATTACTGATATATCTTTTCTAAGTGTATTAAGTTTAAATAGTGATATCGCATAAGTGTCATTCTACATATTCGAGCGTAGTAATTGCATGGTTTTTACAGTTATAATAAAATCCATGATCTATATATTTGTATTGTATTATAGAACTAAGATAGCAGTCGAATAACATGTATATAAATAGTTAGCCTAAAAGCCTTATATATATTAGATTTAATATAAAAGGATGTAGTTACTTATTACGTGCATAGAAAAATTATTCATTAAAACAGTCGGGTGTAGTATTGGACCAATTTGATATGGACTGTGAGTAGTAAAAAGAAATTATATCACTTGCCCGCAAATGTATTACTGTATTTAATCGTTTACCAAAACAATGCATTTCTTATAAGCCAATAAGTAAACATTAAAATATAGATGTCATAGTAAATATTTCACTAGTTAAATATATATTTAATTGAATTTCGGTGACCTTTGATAGGAATCTATTCCTATTTTGAATGATTGAGTCTTATTTAATCAGTTCTTTTTGATCGACACAGAATGCTCTGCATATATTTATGTTCTCATAAATTTAGTCCAAGTTCTAAGTTACATTACTTATTAGTTACATGTTTACGTCATTTATTGAGTTTACCAATATTGTAACCAGTTTACTCCTGGTTTATATATACGAAACAACTAAACCTGTTAAAAGTACTTATTGCAATGATACTTTTGAGTAGTCGGGAATTATTATTGTAATATATTAGTGTATTTTTAAAGTAAGTTAATGGCATATAAGCATACGGCCCACCTGATGGTAACTGGTAATCATCGCCTACATTATATAAACAGGACAATTAATACGTCATCTTGTGACACCTTGGTATCTTTTCTTCGTTACCAAATTCCAATGTATTAAGGTACTTTGCATTCTTTAATATTTTTATTTACAAATGACAGTTTAACGGATGCTGTATAAATTTGCCTGCATCTTTATCACTTATTTCTGTGTTTGCGTAATGTTCCCCAATTCCAAGGGTGTTTTCTGGCTATAATAATACAAATTGTTGTAATTTTCAATTCCTATAAAATGCCTTGGTGTCGCAAGATGTCGTGGTCTTCAGTGACTGCTTACCCTCGGGCAGAGAGCTATATGTCGTATTATTTACCTTTGTATATAACATATTTAAACCCCCTGTGCCCCGCCCAAAGTGTCTACCTTTTGCCTCATACATTCTACTAATATTTAACGCAATTACTGGATTTCCATTTATATACAGTGAATAAAAACTAGAAAAAAAAATTATTTCCACCTATTCCTTTTTTTACGGTACTTTTAAGTTCACGGCAACAAACGTAAAGAAAAATTCGAACAAGTTTGCGTTATGGTAAATTGTTAGCTGAAGTTATTTGCCGCCATTTTAATATTGTATCCAAAAGAATGTAAATATAATATAAATAGTTATATATAGAGAATTGTTAATAATAAGTATCATATTTTTAAATGCCTTTGACCTCCCTTCGATCGGGTTAGAGTCAGGCCTGTTTTCTGTTTCCATTTTGTAAGTTTCAGATAACCTGGAACTGCATAGACCAGACACACCTAAATATATTGCTCAATTAGACAAGCAAAACCGCCAAATTGAATTTGTATCAATGTACTAGATGTAACTAGATTTTATAATCGATCGACTAGTATTCATCTATCTTAAATCGATTGAATTCTCACGCATTGCGTGATTTAATAAAGTAAATATAAATGGTACATTCATTGTGTTGTAAATATAAGGCGGTAATATAAAATCTCTAAGAAATCATTTGTTTTAACATTTACAGTATTTTGTCACATTCATATTGAGAAGTTAGATCGAAAAAAAAGAAACGTAATACATTAATAATAGTATATATTAGTCTGATATTTTTATATTGTGATAAATTTATAATTGTTGTAATGAATAAATAAATTTAAACAAGTGTTGCCAGTCCAGACATAGGTGTAACTATCACTTTTTGCTTATTATTAATTACTTGTAATATTTCAAACAAAAGCAATATAAACAAAGCGGATAAGAATTGAGGTGTTTGATATATTTTGTTTGTGTTCATTTGCTCGCTCTGGACTGTTGTTAAGATATAGTTAGATATTCTAACATAAATATAATAGTTTAATAATTTCTAAATATGTCTAATTACTAAGAAATATATGTATAACAATGAATAAAAGAATGCTATAGTGTTTATAGATTATAAGTGAATAGTATTTATTATATAAAAAAAAATTACTCCCATATACTTTATAGGAGAATATATTTTTTTGGTTTCCGAACCTCAAAGGTATAAACGGAAGTCTTACATGTTTGCCTATCTGACACATTCTAGAAAGTTCTTTTAATTCTAAAACGGCAAGACGATCATAGGCAACGGCTATCCATAAACGTACTGAAGACTGCTATATTATTATATTGTTTTCATTGTGGTAAACGTTTCATAACACCATTAATAAAGAGTTAATAATAACATAAAGTTGAGTATTCTTATAATATTAGAGAAGAGTAAATCATGAATATATATTTATGCGCAACGCTATTTATAAATGTGAGTTGATCAACATGCAAGTTTGCCTTTATGTCGCATATAATATAATCACAATATAAATATAAATATGTAATCGATGAATAAATGTGATATCCACACAAAAAGACTAGACTACACTTTAATTAATGACCGAGTAGCCTTATTTGATATATGTAAGTATAGAGTATAATGATATTGTGAGCCTGTCCTCGCTAAGAATTACTAGAAATTTACCAAATACTTGTTTGTTTTATTATCGTTAGCTGTTATATGCGGAAATATTCTTACTTTAACTACATAAATCTATTTGAATAAAGTTCTTTCTTTTCAGTTTTGATTTTGTTTTTATTTTCTTTATTCTTTATTTTTTTTTCTATTTTCTTTATAACAATCAATGGTTTACTAATTATAAAATACTAGGTCTGAACTAACCATTACGTAAAAGTATATTACATTAGTTTATTTTGTGTGATTTTTAGCAGGGAGGGTCTCTTATGTAGTTAGGATAAATGTTTCAACCATGGAGGTTACTTTCTAAATCTAATTTCTTTGACTAATTCATATCACTAGAAATTATTAGCCTTTAATAATTTTGTAGTGTAAATAAATTTTAAATCTTTTTTGGTGTTATAATTAAGAACATTCGTTTATTGTAGAAAATGTTTCACGTTTACTGTCATTTGTGCTCGCAACTTTGTAACATGGGTAATGTCTAAGTTTCTAGCCTAAGAGAACATATTAATGACTTAGTTCAAAAATGAGCGGTTTAATAAAAGGTATTCTTATTAAGTTTCGTTGTGATCCACACTAAAGATATTTGATTTGTTTTTATTTGACATTGAGTGAATATTAGCATTTAACAGGTATGTATCTGAAGAATAATGTGAACCAAGTCATTGATATTGTTTATTTAAGCTTTTTGTAGATTTTATATTCTTACTAGTCTTTAAACGCAACATGATTGCCTCCTTGCAACGATTTGAGGTACAATTCAATATAAGTAGTGTTCAATTACTATTTTGGTTACCTCGGACACCAGATTTTGAGGTAAACTTCAATAGGTTTCAGAAATTTGGCTGTAAACACTGAGATACACTCAGGGTTAATTAGAATAAAAAAAAAGTTATGTTGGCGTGATCGACGTAATATTTTTTATTGAAGTTAGTGTATCTTAAACTCAGAGGCATACTTTATATAATTGTTATACAACGTACAGTTCAAAACGTAACTTTATTGTTAGAAGTATCTTATAATCATAGTGCGTGGAAGTGATAGCGACGCAGAAAATTTAGAAACATTCGTTACTACGGCGAAGTGCCATGGTGAGTTTTCAATAAAATATTCGTGTAAAACCAGTGGCTCAGTTATGTAACGTGTGTTGCAATTGTGTCGTATTTTAGACAGATTGAAATCGAAAGTATTGCGATTATGTATAAAGATCACTAGTTTCATTTGAGGGCTTTATGTCAATTTGTGTCTACAATTGTGAAATAGTTAATGCATAATCGCAGCTCTTCAATTTCAGTAGGTATATTTCAAATAGATCGATCCGTTCCGACTTGAAAATAGATATGATATAAAATAAAAATATTATGTGTAAATGATGAAACATATGTAAAAGACAGTGAATATCGTCTCAGTCCGCTATGTGGTTTGGAAGAAATAAGTTGATAAACATACTTATAAATCCGGCACCGACTGCTTTACTACTATTTAGATATGAACACGTAAATTATTGCAACCGCGTTATCCAATTCAGCACTAGATTTAATGGCAATAATGTATCAGCAAATAATATTGGTGATTATAAAGTAAAAATAAGTTTTGTTTACCAAATTAACGTTGTATAAAATGTACAAATAAATTGTAATTGATAAATAAAGTGATGTGTTTATTACCATTAGCTGCCTATTATCACATCTGTGATAATCTATTTAACGTAGCTATGTATATGTCGCAAATATTCCTTGCTTAAGTAAATATAGACACAGCTATATCATGCAAGTGAAGGAAAGATTTGGAGTTGTGTCATATTAACAACTAAAAAGTCTGATAGAGAAGGTCGTGGAAGGTGACGAGAGCTCCACCTACAAGAACTATTAAATTATGAATGAATGAAAATATGGTAAATATAGTAACTCTGATTATCCATTTACCATATGTCTCGCAACTACTCCTTGCTTATGTACCTAAATATAGTATTCTGTATTAATTTACGTCATTGTGGGGTAAATAATATGAGTAATATAAATATATTTTGTTTGTATAAATTTAAACATACAACAACCTCTCTGGCTGTTTAATTCTACTTCTACAGAAACATTCTCAATGCAACTGCAAGCAGTGACTACTAATTTTAGACGTTTTATTTATAATGCCATTTTTATTTTAGACGTTTTACAAAGTCTTCTCTTACATTCGTGCATTCTCATAATGTAATATATAGGTATATGTATGTTATATATGTATTTAATAGTAAAATGTTTACTAGATTTATTATCCTTGTCACATTTTACTACGCATGTGACTTTGTATATATTGTAAGAATGAACCACCTGCCGAGGTTTTCCTTATAGACTACATCATGGCGTTTTTCGAGAATGGACACCTCTTGTGTTTCAAGCATAGGCTACGGTAACTGTTTACCATCACATAGGTTTGTTTGCCACATTTGTTGTATAAAAAGAAACTGGATTTTATTATTTAATATTTCGTAATAAACAATGCTTTAAGAGCTGATATTTTCCATACTTTTCGATTTCCTTACGATTAAATTAAATTAAATTCAAAATGTTCTACGACTGAAAACATGAGAATATAAGCATCTCAAAACAACAGCATCTGAAAACCGCAGTAAGTGAGAAGCGGGGAACACAAAACCGATAATGTTTGTGATGCTTTTAATTGGCGGTTGGTACCTGAAGGAGATAAGTGCTGGCAGTTAGCCAGGCATTCCTCGGGCAGCATGGAGCGTGTTTCTGTGAGAATTGCTTGTTATCCAGGCCAGCGGGGATCCTACGCTGCGCTGACTTTATAGTGTTGATACGTAACATATCCAATAATAGACCACTAAAATTAATACCTACTCATGGACAAGAATAAATACTTCGCGCCGAAACCAATAAAGGACCTCAAGTGTTGTTGTTAATTCGGTATTCGATTGAAATAGAAATCTTTATTCAAATGAACTTAATATAAACAGTTTTGAACTAGTCATATTTTTTAAACTACCACTCTTTCGTTACACAGACTTATCTCAATAAGAAAGAGCAAGACTTGAGTGCTGGTTTAAATAAATTTTGTTCAGAATGTATTTTGTGTAAATACATAATGTCGTTTAGTAAAGTTTACATACATTAATTAATATTTACTTGAGTAACAAAATAAATCAGTCATAGTTATCAGATCAGACCAGTTCCTACGAGTAGCACCAGTTCACGAGTAAGACGAGTGAGACAGCCGGTGCTGCGCTCAACAATATTCTGGGGAGCCCGAAGATTCGTCCCGCCACGCCACCGCCTGTCAGAAATTTTAAGTGAGCATGACTGACTCATGACATTTGACCGTGAGTAATGTGATGATGGTGAGTCTAGTGATGTACATACCTTATGTATGTGTAGGTATATTACGTATGTAATACCTTACGCATATGTTCCATCCGACCCATGGATGAGAGTTATGTATACAAGAAAAGATATAGGTATGTTCAGAAATTAGATTAAAATATCTTTTTTCGTGTACGTCTATTACTATAATATGATAAGAAATGTACTTTTAATCCGAGAGGACATAGAAATAAGCTTATTCTTTTAAAATATTTTACGGCTTTGGTGGTCTAGCGGTTCAGCACATCGCTCTTCTGAGGACCGCGGCTTCGAATCCTCACGGAGTACAAACATTTTGTATTCATAACTATGATTGTGTGTACTGATCTGGGTGTTTTCTATGTGTTTTATGTATGTATTTACAAGAAAATATATATAAGTTGTCTGGTACCAATGACAAACTCTGCTAACTTAAGACTAGATGGCGCTGTGTGAATTCTTATTGCATTGGTTATTATTATTAAATGTGTTTATATCAGGTACTTGTTTACAAAAATATAGATTCATGAGAATTTTGGGGGATGGAGTGATCACCAGTAAAAGCCACTGAATTAACAAGACCAGTTCCCACAAACAACTAGTCAACAACCTCCAGTACGAAGTATAAACCAACCCTCATTGTATTCAACTCGAACTCAAATATAAAATTACATACTACATAGGTGCAGATGTTTGTACTGCTGAAATTATATGTATATCACCACTTGTATAATCATCAACCTTGCAAGTGGTGAAACATGATTTAATGTCAAATTGAGAGGAAATAACGCCAATTCATAAACACGTCACTGAGTGTATGTACTCACAGCTTTACTCGATTGTTTCCTTATTATTTCAAAACAATTTGCGAGTGATGTAATATTTCCTCTGTAAGTACTATTAGTTGTTATGGTGTTTGTATTAGGACGATAAAACTTGTGCTTGCAAAGTTACTTTCATGATGTATTCATTGAAAATGGAATACATAATTTTAATAAACAAAAAAGAGGCTGTCTGCTACTGCCTTCGTTATATCAGCCCCTTTACACAAAACTTGTAGGTACGGTTCATTAGAAAGGAGTCAAGAGTTTTGGGATCCGCCGATGAGCATGTGACTGTTTTAGGGGTATCTCGAGCATATCAATTCGGGTGCATTCTTAAAAGGCATAGAGGGCGATCGGCTTTCTGCTTTCCATGATGCCATTTGCAGTATACCTTCGAAGTCTACGTGAGTGGTAAATCACTCTAATTCAGCCATCAAGCAACTTGCTTTGTATGACATGTTTCTGTTGAATGGCAGGCAGTGAAATCACTGGATATGGTGGTACGAGCGTTACATATCTTGATAGCTATGCTGCCGTTCATGTCTGTTGTATGGGTTATGGTTACCACCTACCCTCTAGTGGGCCGTCAGCTTCTTTGGACATTTCAATTACCTACTTAAATAAATATACAGGTACGTGTAAAGTTTGAATAAGTATGACGTAAGAATTTCAGCAATAAGTATCTACGAATAATGAATGACATAGTAGAAATTATGATGTAGGTAGTACCTAACGTGTTTACCTCGCCTATCATCATTCACATTAACACATTTACTGTATATAACTACAGGCAGCATACGACTAATAATGATGTTTTGTTAGTGTAAATATTACTTGAACGTAAAATTAATTATTTTCTCTCCTCGATCATGACCTTAGCAAATATATCCGTTCATTTGACTCGTTCATTTCTCAACTATCAAAACACTGTCAGCTGATCGACGGTTAAGCGAGTGTAATATTCGAGACAAATTAATCCTCGATGGAACAAGATCAAGAGCCTCGGGTGGCGTTGGCCTGCCGCCATGGACGTGTGGCCAGGAAGATGCGACGTAAACATGCCTATTCGCACGGATCTGATCTTGGCCAGATCTTGACCTATTAACATGGCTACAGATGTCGCTTCGTGTATTTTTAGACCATGGGCGGGCGACCGGTTTTGTTTCGACTTTGGTGAGTTTAGTGTACGCAGCTTCTGTGCGCACACGCCGCTCGAAGACCGCATATTGCGGTGTTACGATGATCGAGCGACAATGACAACTCGAGGCATCAGAAGAAAGAAGTCGTCGCTTTCTGAAGTGAAAGTGGCAGTGGTGGGCGCGCCCTCTGTCGGGAAAAGCGGTACGTCCATTATATTATGCAAAAGAAAAAAGTTCAGCAATAAATATTTTATTTTATTAATTCACTTATGTGATTTAAATGTTATTTTTTTTATTTTTAGCACTTTACTATACCTATTTTTTAATTTGTCCAGCACCTATAGCTAACTAAAATTATCATGTTTGTTAGAGACCAATTGAAGAAATACAATTTACAAATTCCATTGAATACAAAATATAATAATGTTAAACATTTAACCTACATTAATATATGTTTTTAAATAAGCTATTATTGTGTTGATTACAATCCTTGAATTTAATTATTCATAAATTTACAAGAATACATAATTGTCGGATATAACTCGTAATATTATATATTTCTAAAGTAAAAAAAAACATTACAAAAAGCAATAAAAATATACCTACCTAATATCATAAAAAAAAATGTTTGTTTTCTGGATCCCGCTATCTGTTTTTTTGTCTGTTTTATTTTTGATTGGACACGGGAAGTTGCAAACAACAAAATGTAGTAAAGTAAATTACAGAATTCTTGCTTGATTAGATTTTAGGGTGCTGTATTTAGCTGTGCTTGTATTTAGACACTATAGTTATATTTGAGCTAACACTATTTGAGAACACATTCACTTACAGAAGTAAGTAGTAAGAATGTAATACAATTATTTATTTTCATGTAGGTACGACAGCTCCGTGTATGGTTTTTAGAAAAAAATGTGGTTTACCGATATTATATTAAACTCTTTTTACACCACGCAAGTGGTTACTTACGAGCGCATGTCCCGTAAAACTTGCGTTTTACTTTGCTCTTTTGGCATCTTATTTTAACATGCAATAAATCAAAATATTCGGTAAAGGAATAGCAACTTTTGTATATCAATGTTTACACATTAAAATCTAAAGCAACGCGTGTAGATGTTCGTAATAAAATTTGAAATGAGTCTGTGTTATTGCTAAAGAGTTGGTTCGCATTATGTATCTATTCCTTTATATTTTTATCTATCTGTAGTTCTTATTATAGTAGATTTTGTAATATTAACGGGTTTCTACTTCGTTTTTTTTCTAATGTGTTTCTAATGGCATCATGCACACGCCTGAGCTAAAGGTTTACTCTAGCGGGTAATAGTAGAGGATGGTAACATGAGCTAAGGTCAGGTCTGTTAGCCAATCATGACAAATTTATTGTGATGGTTTCCAGTAGAGATAACGGAAAATACTAATGGAACACATACGGAAGATACAATGAGGATGTGGTCTTGTCAATTATTTCATCGTAGCAAATTAGTTACAAATTAACCAGTATGGTTTTTTGAGTTGACAATGTACATTGTTGACAATGTAAATAGACTAATGTAATATAGACATTACTAAAAATCCCCTCAACTCCCCTAGTACATACGATAAACAGTTACTATCAAGCTCATTATTGATTCCTAACGCACTTACTCATTTTTCAAACAGAATATAGGATTATTAAAATAAAATAAAAAGTTTTATTTTCAAGTGAATCCTGCGAAAATTTTAATCTTATTCCATCGAATCAAATTCAGATTTCCTTTTTAACATATAGGATTTAATTATATCCCCTAAAAAGTGGACAGATAAAACTTGACATAGTAGGTAGGTAGGTATATATGTAATACGGACAGTTGAACAGTATAGTTTATAAAAAATAAACATACAAATGTGCAATATGTGATTGCAACGTTTTTGATGGTTTTCTGGTTTCATAAATCAAATCTAAAACTATTTTATTACTGTTGGACCTTTCGACCTCTCATGTGTATCTATCATGCGCTCTCAGGGCGTATGATGTAAATTGAAAATTTTGAAAAAACACTTTAATTTTAAATATATCTTTTTCAATATAAACGATGCAAGGAAACCGAGAACCATTAAAGTATAATAAGTATTGTTCAGTAACGAGACGTTAAATTACCTTACACTCAACCTTGTGTTTCGAACGACCTCTGACACATTAATCTAAATTCAGTACAATATTTTAGTTATAAAAATACAATGTATTTGCAAGAATACCTATAGACAATAGAGCTTTAATGTACAAGGAGAATTAGGTTGCTGAACCTGTTTTTAGATATTCGACCTTATAGTCATTGCCTACATTGTTTTGTTTTAAATATATATGCTGTGAACATCTACATAACATATAAAATCCTTTGCCAGCTTATGACAAATTGAAAAATAAGAGTAACAACAATAACTCTTTGGTTTTGTAAATTTTGAGCTATACTAGTTTTGTAGATCCTGTAGGTATTCTAATAAAGATTAAAGAAATTTGAATAATGTATAAATAATTAAAATATCTAATTTTCAATATAGATTTTAGGTATATCTATATATATATATATATATATATATATATATATATATATATATATATATTGAAGGCAAAATACCAAGTTAACAATACCTGTTTGTTTATTTATTAGTCGTTCAGTTTATACTTGCATAGTGTGGCAAAGACGTAGAATAACGCGTTGGAATGCCTATATATTGTATAAATAATGATCTTAGTATAAGATGTCTTATTGTGTTTCAAATTAATATGTTTATTGTGTATATTTATAGTGTCAAATCTAAGGTACGTTACTTCCAAATAAGACAGAAATAATAGTCTTAGCCCATGAGCAGTCTGTTATTATGGAAACTGTCAAATTTCTACCAAGGTGGACATTATAAAAAATCTTCTGCATAAACAACTGCAACTATCCCAAACTGCATTTCAATTGCCAAGCAGCTAGCTCTACAAAAGGTTTCTGTTATAGAGTGAGATTCGACAGTAAGAAGACAGTAGTCCTACGGAATGGCCACGCAGAAGGATTATCACGGGCGTCACAAGATGACGTGAAGTTCTTGGTGCTGTTTATATAGATAGGCGAAGGTTAACTTACTATCAGATGGGCTTGTTTGCCATTTCGGAATAATTTCGGCAGCTTATATAAGTATTGTTGAACAACTTTACTTGTAGCTTATTAAACTACAGACAAAATTGGTATTACATTTGATCTATTTAAATTTTTTTGGAGTAATCATTGTCTTTTAAAGATATTAAACAAATTATAAAGCCTGTTAAATAGTTACCAATTTCCATAGTAACATCAGAAAGGGAAGAAAACTACTTATAACGAAAATAACTTGTAGGCACATTTACTAATGACAGCTAGGAATTCTGTATCTGCGATAGGTACATACCACCGTTTTCATCACCTTGTCACAAAACAACGGGAGCGATGCTCGCAAATAGTTAAGTGAGTAATATATTTAGTAAAACACTCAAGGGTAGTAGGTTTGTACGTATCTACAGAGGAATATCTAATAGAATAAAACTTATTAATATTAAAAAATACTAATAATACTATTACTTATAACAATTACCATTTTACAGATTACATTTTTAACACGTCTTTGTACACCTACAGATTTGATAAATGATGATTTTTCTTATCTTACTTAGGCTAGAAAATTCAAAATAATAATTGCTATTATTAGTAATTGTTACAAAAATATAAATATTAGTAATTGGTAAAAATATATACGAGGATGTGAATTATTCAAGGTTGTACAGGGCAGGGCGGAGTAATGAGACATACAAACGCAATGAGTAGGTATATATACAATAATGATAGTTTATTTACTAATTATTTCGGTTGCTTAGCGTCAGAAATATCAAATTTTAAGTGATATAATATCAGCTGTATCTGTTCTTTGGAAAATGGTAGCAGTTGCGACGCGAATATTCTGCTTTAGGTACTAGATACTGCTGCTGTGCGTGCGATTTCTTCAGAATGATATCAACACAATTACTTCATGTTAAATTGTATTTTGTATATAATGAGATAACACAAATATTTGTAGTGTCTTAATATCTAATAATAAGGTACCCACTTACTTGTGTGTAATGTGATAAACTACATGTAGTTATTAATTAAAGGTAATCAAAGAGACGAAGTATTGATGTGCTATTTGTTAGGATTGGATTTCTCGCCTATTACAGCAATATTCTCTGTTAAGAGAAGATTTAGTAATTCTTCGAGCAACAAAAAAATGTTCGGTTATTGGAAATAAGACGTGTTATTCTAGAAAAGACACGTGCAAAGTTGTGGCTACAGCGAGTATAACAATATGTTACTGTTCATTAACAATTATCGATTATAAAACGTCCCGTGAAACGCTGCATTGTATTTTTGGCTGGCTGCCAACACCACTTCCCGTCTAGACCTACAAATTATGCTTTATGACCTGTGTGATGTATGAATACATGAAGACATTAAGCGACATGTGTTCTGGGCTTAAGATGAGAATTCACTAGCAGGATTGTAATTTAAAATAAATATTACTATTATTTTCATTGTATTTCCTGTATGGGCACCCATAGGGGTATCAATACGTACTTATATATAACGAGTACATCCATTTACTTTAGATTTAAAATTGTGATAAATAAATAAATAAAAAAATGTCTTACAGTTGTCTATAATAATTATAGTGGCTTATATAAAAGCTATGTCTATTTTGACATTAGATGGCGCTTTGTTAAAGGTTCAAATATATATAAATATATTGTTATTTTGTAATTTATGTCAGTGTATATAATACTAGACGTTATTTTTGATTCAACGAGCTGTATAATATCCGTCAAATACATTGCTTTTAATTTAAAATACAATATCCAATGTTTTTCTTGTTCTATAAAAACCAGCTTGGTATTCATATTTTTTCTGTTGTCTAATAAACTATTTTCAGTGTTTATTGTTAAATACAGGATCACAAGTAACAATAAGCATATAATTTTTATATTCACGCGTAAATTCGTCTTTGTGATAGAGCTTCACAGATCTCTCCCTTTGTCTTCACTGCTTTGCAACTATTTAACACAAATAGCTGTACCATGTGCCCCTTTCAAAAAGAATAAAGTTTTTTTCTATAATTATTTTTGGTCTCCACAGTAATAAAATTGTAAATTTCTTGACGGCGTCTCATTTTGTT